GCTCTCTTAAAAAAATAGATCAGGCTATAAAAACAAAAACAAAAAATATATATATAAAAAGGAAATTTCAAAAAAGGCAGTGTCAAAATAAAGAAATGAAATAATAATTAAAATATGAAATAGAAAAGAGGAGCTGATGTTACTCTGTTGGTAACAGTTTGAAGCAATATTATCAATGCATTATTTTTTTTTTTTATTTTTATTTTTTTCCAGCTCTCGTTGACAATGAATAATTTTAAGGGTTCAATCTCTCTAAAACTCTAAAAATTAAAGGTGGACTATGTAACATTTCAGGTAGAAGGTCTGTCACCAGCTTAAGACGGGCCTGGAATGTTCCACAGTATGGCATTAAACCTGTCTATCTCCATGAACGTGAGCAGGTGACGCCAACAATACTGAAAGATCAGATCTGGGGAGAGGCGAGCCCGCACACACTAGCGATGTTTGTTTTTCAAGGTAAAAAAATCCATGTAATCCAAAAAGGATACATACAGTTTACTGAGGAACATCTCCATGGAAACGACGAAGTGGCGCACCCTCTACCAGAAAAGTCACACAATACACCTTTAAACCATTGTCCATTTGTTTGCACGTCCAGTATGCAGAGTCTTTATTGACGCCTGTGCACAAAGCCGGTGTAACCTGAGAGCTCTGGATCATATGAAAAGCACTGGCCTCTGCTCTCTCCCGCCCCCTGCTGTTCGTGCAGATATAACTCCGTATCGATCCGCTCCAAGGGCAGGTTGTTGATGACTCGTCTGATCGATGAGGGGGCATTTCCTCTGGGACACTTGGGAAGAAGGGTCCTGGTCACTTCCTGTCACCTCTGAACTCTGCAGTGACCCGCGCCGTGTTGCATTTACAGGCGGAGTAAATAAACGTGAATTACAATTTAGTCAAGGAATAATAGTTATTTCTAATCTGAAGGTCGGATGATCGATTGCTTGGACCAGAGCGTAGAGTTGTTAGGTCCTTGGGCAAGACGCTATATGAATGTGAATAACGCATGAGTGATCGGTGGTTGTTAGAGTGGTCGATAGCATAAATTGGCAGCCTCACCTCCAGCACTTTACCCCAGGGCAGCTATGGCGAGTAGATTATCCTTATTTGTAGGGATGGGACAGGATCACAAGATCTCACGAGACTAATTTGCCACAAGACACATAAGCACACATAAGGAAAATTATCTCATGAGATTTGTGTTTACATTTGAGTTGGACCAAAAAAGGTTGAATGCTGGTGAGTAGGGCTGAACGATTAAAAAATAATCATTTCTGGCAGATATTGCAATTTTGATTTCATCCAAAAAAAAATTTCAAATCAAGTTTCCGTGCACATGAACATTTGCAAATATCACAGAAACTTACATGATACCAGAGTCCTGCACCACGATTTGACACTGGACTGTAACTTGGGCTTTAGAAGAAGTACAAAAAAAAACCACGGTTTTGTCATGTTGTCTGAGATCGCGATTTCTGGTCCAAAACAATAGATCATTTAGCCCTACTGGCGAGTTAACAGTTCTAGAAGCCATAGTTACAAAAAAGCAGTGCAAAAATGTCCGCAAAAGTTCTCCAGTTATTGATTATTTTGATTTGTTTTTTATTTAATTTGTACCAAGAGAGAAACAATAAACATACTACATACACATTGTAAACAACAGAAAAGCAAGTTTCTCGAAAAGTAGTGGGAAGAAGAAAAAACTTATATGAAGCCGCCCCTGTTCATGACATAGTTTTAGAAATTATGTGTTTTCTTATGTACATCAATCGTGGAACTTTACAAATATTTACATACAATAAATAGCAGTCGCTGTATCGGACCGTTGTGGTGAAGAGGAGCTGAGTCGAAAGGCGAAGCTCTCGATTTACCGGTCAGTCTTCGTTCCTACTCTCACCTATGGCCATGAGCTCTGGGTAGTGACCGAAAGGACGAGATCGCAGATACAAGCGCTCGAAATGAGTTTCCTTCGCAGGGTGGCTGGGCGCTCCCTTAGAGATAGGGTGAGGAGCTCAGTCACACGGGAGGAGCTCGGAGTAGAGCCTCTGCTCCTCCACGTCGAGAGGAGCAGTTGAGGTGGCTCGGGCATCTGTTCCGGATGCCTCCTGGGCGCCTCCCTCAGGAGGTGTTCCGGGCATGTCCCACCGGGAGGAGGCCCCGGGGAAGACCCAGGATATGCTGAGGGACTATGTCTCTGGGCTGGCCTGGGAACGCCTCGGGGTCCCCCCGGAGGAGCTGGAGGACATGTCTGGGGTGAAGGAAGTGTGGGAGTCCCTGCTTAGACTGCTGCCCCCGCGACCCGGCCCCGGATAAGCAGAAGAAAATGGATGGATGGACATTAAAATAAATTTCATACTATTTTCGTACAAACAAATAATAATGATAAAGAAGGCAGAGAAGTGTATCGTTTATAATCGTATCAAAATAAGCAAAATGAGAATGAGAAAAATGTAAAGATTTTTTTTGTTTTCGATTAGTTAAATAAAGCTCACGAGGCTAGCGGTTATGGGATGAAGTTAGAGCTGAGTTCTACGTATATTAGGAATAAGAATTGATTTACAGACAAAATAAAAAACACCAGGATCATGTAGAGCGGGTTAATACGAACATTTTAAGACCAAAATGAGGAGCCTGACAGCAGCAGTTAGAGAGAGAGGGGCCCCGATTTATCAAGAGAAAGTGAATTGGCGCTGGAGTCGATGGAGCCAGAAATACACCCATGCTCACTTCCTGTTTGGATTGCGGCGGCTAACGGGTTAACTACAATCATGCAGTCTTCTCTTGTCTTTTTTGTCTTATTTCATACAGTTCTGGGAGTCTACTTTTTAAATTTATCTGAGTAATCCTGTATTATTTTCAAACGTCAATATCTTTTTACTTTTTGCTTTTGCTTTTTCGCTTCTCTCCACACTCTCACGGACGCTCGCGTACTTCGCTGATACAGAACATCAAAAGCTTTCACTGATGCTCGACTCGATTACTAAAATAATTTAACAACTGCCCCGAGCTTTGATGAGCCAGAGCCTGCGCTGCGCTCGCTGCTGCAGGAAGTAATTAGCTGCAGGTCCAGATAGACGTTAGCTCATTACGGCGCTGGCTGCGAACAGAGCCTCATCTGATCGGTCGGGATCAAATGAACGTGGTGGAGCAGATGACACATTTAATTCAATTGTGAGAGGACACTGGTCTCACGTCTTTATCAAACGCCCACAAGAAAAGCGTTTCACTGTGCAGACAACAAAAAGACGACATGTTAAAAGGCCCGTGTTACGACGTTTGTGATGTTGTTTCCTGATCACGAACAAACCTAATCCGTGTATCAGTCGTTCATTTGTTTTTCAATGTAAAACCAAAAATAAGAAAATGAAAAAACTTCAGTGACTGCGATGCCGGAGTTTGCGCTACATACGGACTGAACCAGGACTGAATCAGGACTAAAACAGGACTAAACTGTTTTTCAGTCCTGGTCTGGTCCCGGTCTCGGTCCCGGTCTCAGTCTCGGTCTGGTCCTGGTCTGGTCCCAGTCTCAGTCCCAGTCTGGTACTGGTCTCAATCACAGTCTGGTCCTGGTTTGGTCCCGGTCTCAGTCCCGGTCTGGTCCCGGTCTCAGTCCCGGTCTGGTACTGGTCTCAATCACTGGTCTGGTCCTGGTCTCAGTCCTGATCCCGGTCTCAATCTTGCTCTCAGTTCTGGTCTGATCCCGGTCTCAGTCCCGGTCCTGGTCCCAGACTCAGTCCTTGTCTGATCCCGGTCTAAGTCCCGGTCTAAGTCCCGGTCTAAGTCCCGGTCTAAGTCCCGGTCTCAGTCCCGGTCTGGTCCCGGTCTCAGTCCCGGTCTCAGTCCCGGTCTCAGTCCCGGTCTCAGTCCCGGTCTGGTCCCGGTCTGGTCCCGGTCTCAGTCCCGGTCTCAGTCCCGGTCTCAGTCCCGGTCTCAGTCCGGTCTCAGTCCCGGTCTCAGTCCCGGTCTCGGTCTCAGTCCCGGTCTCAGTCCGGTCTCAGTCCCGGTCTCGTCCCGGTCTCAGTCCCGGTCTCAGTCCCGGTCTCAATCCCGGTCTCAGTCCTGGTCCTGTTCTCGGTCTCAATCCTGCTTTCAGTTTTGTTCTGATCCTGGTCTCAGTCCCGGTCCTGGTCCTCGACTCGGTCCTTGTCTGATCTTGGTCTAAGTCCTGGTCTCAGTCCCGGTCTGGTCCCGGACTTGGTTCAGTTCTGGTTCAGTCCGGCATTGCACTCACGGAAGTCACGTAAACAGGAAACGGCCGTTATCCAACATGTGTAAAAGAAACAAAACACAACTCTACGTCTGTTTTTGAGGCGGTAACAAGATTCTAACGCACAAAAGCTCAAAAGAATCAATTTCGTGTAATATAGAACCTTTAAAAGTGAAGTTATTTAAGTAAAGTTAAAATGATTTTCATTCAGAATAGACGGTCTTGTTTTGTATATTGGTGTATTCTTGTTCGGTCTGGTTTTGGGACAAGTTTGTGTTTCAGTGTATTTTTCTTCTACATTTAAAGTTAAAGATGCATTACGTAACTTTTCAGATGATGATGATATGATGATAAGTTTATTCAGATGTTTCCATAAATGATAAATTGTATTATTGTGCAGTAATCAACACATACATAAAGGCAGTTTGTTTGTTTTTTTACATCGCTCATCACAACTATAACCTCCAAAAATAGAATAAAAATGTTGAGATGTTCCAATTTTTTTTTTTTTTTTAATTTTTTTTTGATCACACTGGCAAATAATTTAAATAAGTATCTTGAAATACCATGAGTAATCCTAAGATCAAACCCACAGGCTGCGTCACATGGCCACTTCAGCGTCCAGTGCAGCTCAGGTTAAATCATAGGATATTTATATCTGCGTCTCCGCTCTGTTAACATACGACATAATCCCTATAAGTGCCAAGAGCTAAAGCTAACGCGCCCAGGTCAGGAGGGCAGTAGGCCCTTACGCAGCCCCGTGCATGTATAAAACATATGTGTGTGTCTGTAGTATGGGCGGTCAGACAGTTACCGCGTTGCCACCACACAGGACAAAGATGGCCGATCCCCCACCAAGAAGAAGGGGGGCAAGGACATGGACGAGCTCAAGAAGGAAGTCCCCATTGTGAGTACATTTCTTATTACTATCAAAAATAAATGTGTTTTTTGTTCTTGTTCAATTTTGGTTTCATTCATTAAACAAAGCACCTCAAATAACATAAAAATAACCATCTATAATGATTTAAAAAACAAAAAAGTGCAATAAGAAGTAGTTTTATTATAACCAAAAGTGGGGACTTGCAAGACCTGAGTCACTATTTTTAGGACTTGAGACTTGATTTGATAAAATGGACTAAAACTTGGGACTCGACTGGAGTTGAAGCCTGAGAAGACTTTTAAATCTGAATTTTTTCTGTTCTGACCGTAATGATTCACACTAAGATCTTGTCAAGACATTCAAAAAGGAAAAATTAACAAAATTAATTTCTACAACTCTGATATAAATACTCATATATAAATATACTATGATTTTTTAAAGTACAATTGAGCTTAAAAGTCATATAAATTGCAAAAACCTAACCTCTGTTTGGTACTTTGGTTTAAAGACTTGAAATGACTTGAAGCTTAAAGCAGACGACTTGAACTTGACTTGGACTTATTGGCCAGTGACTCGAAACTCGACTTGGACTTATATATTTTACGAGATACGTACTTTTTATTACTCTGTATTTTTTACTTTTATTTGGCCAAATTTCACTAACATGCAGCAGCAATATTCAGGACAAGTGGGGGATGGTTGTTAGTTGTGAACAGAGCTGGGGATTGGACTCGAGTCAGACTTGAGTCACTATTTTTAGGACTTGAGGCTTGACTTGATCAAATGGACTAAGACTCGGGACTCGACTTGGACTTGAATGTCAGTGACTCGGGACTTGACTCGGACTTGAGGCCTGTGACTTGAGAAAACTTGAGAAGCACTTTTAAATCTGAATTCTTTCTATTCTGACGGTAATGATTCACTCTAAGATCTTGTTAAGACATTTAAAAAGGGAAAAGTAACAAAATTTATTTCTAAAACTCTTATAGAAATACTCATATAAATATACAATGATTTTTTAAGTACAATGAACTTAAAATTCATATAAATTGCAAAAATCTAAGCTCTATTTGGTACTTTGGTTTAAAGACTTGAAATGACTTGAAGCTCAAAGCAGACGACTTGGACTTGACTTGGACTTATTGGCCAGTGACTCGAAACTCGACTTGGACATGTGTGTCTTTGACTTGGGACTTGACTCAGACTTGAGGTCAAAGACTTGAGACTTACTTGAGACTTGCAAAACGACGACTTGGTCCCACCTCTGATTATAACGATCCCAAAATAATTACACGTATAAATATTAGTTTTATATTTTTTAATTCTACGGACAATGTGGCTGGTTCTTTACACTAAATGTACTCATTTTCAGCTCGTGTTCGTAGTTGGACTTTCCACACTATAGTACTTAACATAAATAAAAACAAAAATACAGAAATAATTGTTCAGCTATAAAGAAAAAAATAAAAGTATCTGTACAATTACCCACGTTAAAATGCCACAAAAAACACACCTTCGAAACCTTCAAACCTTGATGTATGCGCTCCTGATCCATCAAGTTAAAATTGTAATGTCTTTTAATATTTTACTGTTTCTAATATCACAATAAAAAAACAAAAACACAAAAAAAACCCACTAATTTTTACACGTCATCACCGTAAGATTAGACATGACAGTACAACTTTGCATTTAATTCGGCTCATCAAAGTTGTAGTACATGTTTAGCTGATCATTAAACACAAACAAAAAGCACATTTATTATTATATTTATTAGTGTGATGGGATGGATCTGTCAGGTTTGTATTGCTAAGACAGATCTCAGCTCTTCCTGTTGATCCGGCATCACTGCACAAGGAAAACTCAGGTGAACCGCATGCTTAGACGGCATCGTGATCGGACTAACAAATATTTCATAATAGATTCAACAATTTGATCAACTTACAAATATAAACGCGCTCAAATATAACGTACTGACTGTTTGCGTGTCTTCTGTTTTGCAGACGGAGCATAAGATGTCCGTGGAAGAAGTGTGCAGGAAATACCAGACCGACATTGTCCAGGTGAGGTGACGCTGCAGTGAGGGCAGACGAACACTAGATGGCGCCAGAGTCATTTCAAACGGCGGTGAAACTCAGGGGTTTTTAAGCTCTGGTTTTTAACAGTTCAAATTCAATCTTTAAGCAGGGAAAGGTGATCAGACAGTCCCAGTTTTGAGCTCTGTGTCCCCTGTCCCCGCGGATTTATCCAAAACCACTGATTTGTCCCAGTTTTATACAAAAAAATGCCCCACGTGTCCATATTTTTGACCAATTTAACACCTGCCAACAGTAAAGAGAGGCATACATTGGCATTTGTTTTGGTAAAATAAAGAAAAAAATGATCAAAACTAAAGAACATGTGACTCTACTGACAGATGTCCTTCATGAATGAGCCAAATTACGTAACAATTTTCCTTAATTATTGACTCGATTCACAATTTCATTAGGCCCAACCACCAAAAACCAGGAGTGTCCCAGTTTTTTATTTTGAAAATCTGGTCTTCTATACTAGAAACTGATCTCAAGACAAAAAAAACTCCAAAACAAATCAAAGAATAGATTGAATTTTAGCACAAAATAATGGCAGCACAAATTATGGTCTTAAATTAGTTCTGATTTAGACCAGTATCTTTTTTTTCCAGTACTAATACTTCATCGGTATCTTCATTCAATACTAGTTTTAGCGATTATTGTCTTGGTATTGATACTTCTGACAACCTGTACAGAAAATGCAAAATTGTGGCTGTTTGCTGTAGGTGTTCCAGTCAGTGCTCTTGGAAAAAGGATCAAAACTTAAAACACAACTGGGAAATATCTAGTCAAAAGGCCTTTATTTAAATGACCAAAGCCAACATGTTTCGACCAAACTAGTCTTCATCAGGGCTCCGTTGTTTCTTTATTTACTTCTAACAACCTGTCTGAGGACTGGACTACAAAGTCGCACCTCAGTTTTATGCTTTAATACTATAATTTTCAAACACAAAAATCATCGAGGTACAATTTTACGACTATAATCTAGTGTCATCTAGAGAAAACGAACTAATGCTGGTGTCAGGATGAATGTGAGACTAAGCCTAGAAACTCGCGTGTCATTAGAAAACATTTTATAATTAGGATAAACATTAGAGACAAATACATTTTAAAATTTGTTTTCATCTATGTAACCGAAAACAAGAAAAATGTTGCACTTACAATGATCTATTATGGCTGAGTTTGTTATAAATCTAGCCTTATTTCCCATTTTAAATACGTGTCTCTTTTGATTCCAGGGCTTAACCAACTCGAGGGCCGCTGAGTTTCTGAAGAGAGACGGTCCCAACGCCCTGACCCCCCCTCCCACCACCCCCGAGTGGGTCAAGTTCTGTCGTCAGCTCTTTGGAGGTTTCTCCATCCTGCTGTGGACCGGAGCCATCCTCTGCTTCCTGGCCTACGCCATCCAGGCCGCCACCGAGGACGAGCCGGCCGGAGACAACGTGAGGCTCCGGTTTTACTTTTATGTCCTCATGGTTTTATTTTAGGTTCTGTTGCTACTCATACTACTGCGACTACTACCTACTACTGCTTCTACTGCTACTATGGCCTAGTACTTCAAATACTGATACATAATTCACAGAGTTTTTAGAGCTCTCAAAGACCTTTTACATAGGCTCCTACTACTACTACTACTACTACTACTACTACTACTACTACTACTACTACTACTACTACTACTACTACTACTACTACTACTACTACTACTACTACTACTACTACTACTACTACTACTACTACTACTACTACTACTACTACTACTACTACTACTACTACTACTACTACTACTACTACTACTACTACTACTACTACTACTACTACTACTACTACTACTACTACTACTACTACTACTACTACTACTACTACTACTACTACTACTACTACTACTACTACTACTACTACTACTACTACTACTACTACTACTACTACTACTACTACTACTACTACTACTACTACTACTACTACTACTACTACTACTACTACTACTACTACTACTACTACTACTACTACTACTACTACTACTACTACTACTACTACTACTACTACTACTACTACTACTACTACTACTACTACTACTACTACTACTACTACTACTACTACTACTACTACTACTACTACTACTACTACTACTACTACTACTACTACTATTACTACTACTACTACTACTACTACTACTACTACTACTACTACTACTACTACTACTACTACTACTACTACTACTACTACTACTACTACTACTACTACTACTACTACTACTACTACTACTACTACTACTACTACTACTACTACTACTACTACTACTACTACTACTACTACTACTACTACTACTACTACTACTACTACTACTACTACTACTACTACTACTACTACTACTACTACTACTACTACTACTACTACTACTACTACTACTACTACTACTACTACTACTACTACTACTACTACTACTACTACTACTACTACTACTACTACTACTACTACTACTACTACTACTACTACTACTACTACTACTACTACTACTACTACTACTACTACTACTACTACTACTACTACTACTACTACTACTACTACTACTACTACTACTACTACTACTACTACTACTACTACTACTACTACTACTACTACTACTACTACTACTACTACTACTACTACTACTACTACTACTACTACTACTACTACTACTACTACTACTACTACTACTACTACTACTACTACTACTACTACTACTACTACTACTACTACTACTACTACTACTACTACTACTACTACTACTACTACTACTCTTACTACTACTACTACTACTACTACTACTACTACTACTACTACTACTACTACTACTACTACTACTACTATTACTACTACTACTACTACTACTACTATTACTACTACTACTACTACTATTACTATACTACTACTACTACTACTACTACTACTACTACTATTGACTACTACTACTACTACTACTACTACTACTACAACTACTACTGTTACTACTACTAAAGCTACTGTTTCTCCTACCTCTACTACCACTAATACTACTACAAATATTAATACATAAAACAGCACAGAAAGCATTTTTAGGACACAAGAACTGCTACTCATTCATTCATGTTACTTGTAGTAGAACTACAACAACTACTAATACTACTACTGCTGTTTAACCCAAATGTCTTTTCCTGTGTGCAGTTGTACCTCGGTATCGTGCTGACGGCTGTAGTCATCATCACCGGTTGTTTCTCTTATTTCCAAGAAGCCAAAAGCTCCAAGATCATGGAGTCGTTTAAGAACATGGTGCCCCAGGTGAGAACAAAACAAAACAAAAAAAAAAAACAAAGAAAAAAACAGATAAATATTTGACTGAATATAGTTTAAAAAGGTGAAGTTAAAGCTTCTTTGGTAAAATCTGCCTTTAAATTGTCACGGTGTTGTGCCTAAAGTGGAACTAAGGTGGAAAATTCTGTCTGTTTCTATCAAAAAACTGTTGCATTATTCGATCCCTAGATGTTTTCAGATGAGACAACTTTAAGTCACACGGTAAATATGACAAACGTGTGGACAGAAGCAGATAAAAGTGAATTGTGCTTATACCAGTCCGCGCTTTCCATCTAAAAGTATGATATTATCAAATTGTAGAACATGAATACAACAAGTTTTACGTTTTGTTTATTCATTTTACTATATTTTCGAAAACAGACCATTGTACCTGAGCTGTTCTGTGCTGAGCTGAGTTCATTTTCCTGATGTCGTTTCCGTTCTTGTGTGCTGACAGCAAGCGTTGGTGATCCGTGAGGGAGAGAAAGTGCAGATTAACGCTGAGGAGGTGGTGGCTGGAGACCTGATCGAAGTGAAAGGAGGAGACAGGATCCCAGCCGACATCAGGGTGGTCTCTGCTCATGGATGCAAGGTACACAGACTGAGTATTTATTATTGTTTGCATATAGAAAGTTGGAATTTAGGCTCTATTTTTGCACATATCATGTAATTTCTAATAGTGTATTTGTATTTTCTTAATTATATTGAAGCATGTGGATTACATTTGAATCATTAAGACTAGCCTGTGAGATTCTAATCCTGAAAATTCTTACCAAATATACAAAAGATGGTAACTTTCTTTCTTTTTCATAAACATTTGGGTATCCTCCATGCACCACATTTTGGGAATCACTGGTCTAGAATAAGAAAAATATGAAAAAGCTGATAAAAGAGCAAATAAATCTAAAGAGTATCAGGTATTATTTAATTTTTGTACTATACTTGAACCATAACCAAGACATTTTACAGACATGTTTTAGTACATGTTCGACGGATTACAAAAATATGAACTGTTATTACGATAAAATAATCCAAAATTAAATTATAGGGGTTTTTTTGGAAATATTTCCCATCCCTATTTGCAAACATGGGATTCATTTTTCCGTTTCCACCTCCAGGTCGACAACTCCTCCCTCACCGGAGAGTCCGAGCCCCAGAACAGGTCACCCGACTGCACCCACGACAACCCACTGGAAACCCGGAATGTCGCTTTCTTTTCTACAAACTGTGTGGAAGGTACAATTTTAGATGAAGGACAAGAGTCTACAGAAGTCTGTGTCCCATAAATTTGCCATTTTAATCATTACATTTGTCTGGAAGCCTCTTTAACTGTAGTTATGTTTTAGTTGATACAAGAGAAGCTGAAATTTTATGCCAAGGTTTGTTTCATGTGGATAGGCCCAGTATTACAGAGATGTGCTTTTTGACAGTTAAAAGGCAAATTCAACCACAGAAATCTGATCTGCCCTCAAACTTAATTTTAACATGGGGGAAATGAATAATGTTATGGTGAAAGTGAACCCAGCCTACTCATCAGTTTCACCTTCCTGCTATTTCTGACATTCTGAGAAATTTTGCCAATTCAAAAGCTATAATCTTTAGTTTTAAATTGTTAATTGCTGTATCAACTGCTCTAATTTTTCATCACTCTGAAAACCATGGATTAAGCAAATTAGTCGTTGTGTATAAAGTAGTATAAAGAATCCCTTTATCATTCGTTCAGTCATTTTTCAATATAAAACCAAAAATAAGAAAACGAAAAAAACAACTGTTTTCTTCATTATTTGTCTCCAAAACCAAACGGATAACGATTAATTTTTTTCATTTTTCGATTTTGTTTTTAAATGAATTATGGAAAAACAGATAATGACCGTTTCCATTTTCGTGACTTAAACTGCGATGCCGGACTTCTGCGCCACATATGGACTGAACCAGGACTAAAACTGAACTAAACCAGGATTAAACCAGGACTCAACCGTTTTCAGTCCTGGTCTGGTTCCGGTCTGGTCCCGGACTTCGTTCAGTCCTGGTTCAATCCATATGCGGCGCAAAAGTTCAGCATCGCAGTTTAAGTCACAGAAACGGGAAACGGAAACGTTTGTTCCACTATTCATTTCAACACAAAATTTAAAAATTTAAAAATGAAACATTTTCTGTTTTTTCATTTTGGTTTTGGAGACAAATAATGAAGAAAATAGTTGTTTTTTCATTTAGTTATTTTTGTTTTTATTTTGAAAAACAAATGAGCGAATGATACATGGATTATAAAACGTACTATTAACTTAAACTTCTTCTTTCCCCCCAGGCACTGCTCGTGGTATTGTGATCTGCACCGGCGACCGCACGGTTATGGGGCGCATTGCCACGCTGACGTCGGGTTTGGAGACGGGCAAAACCCCCATCGCCAAGGAGATCGAGCACTTCATCCACATCATCACGGGCGTGGCAGTGTTCCTGGGAGTCACCTTCTTCATCCTGGCCATCATCCTGGGCTACACCTGGCTCGAGGCCGTCATCTTCCTCATCGGGATCATTGTGGCTAATGTGCCCGAGGGACTGCTGGCCACTGTCACTGTGAGTACAGCCGAGAGCCGACGACGAGGTACAGGACGTCTCTGTGACTGACAGTCGTCTGAGCTCTGAAAGAACCATGTTCTATCATCCAGTTTATTTCTATCGTACATAGAAGTGGGATGATTTAATATCAAGGACACAATACTCCAGGAGTCCAGGAGAGAAGAACAAGATGAGATTTAGACATAATTAAATCCAACGCATCTATTTATTTTTAGCATTTTAGGAAACACTTTACTTTAGGGATCACATATTATTGCTTGACTAATAGTAAAAGGCATAAAAAGTGCTTAACCAACTCTGTTACTTTTTTTTTTTTAATAATGTATTTATTAAACCTTTTGTTGTCTAAGGTCATATTTTACAAATAGTCAACAATTATACTGACTGCACTGTTAGTATTAGTATTATAAACAATAGATGCTTTTCTACTTCAATAGCAGAATGATCACTAACTAACATACAAACAGTTACCACTTCGACTAATATATGGGCTGCTTTTTATATCACTACATACTGTATGTTTTGTGTATTATTTTCAGTAATAGCATTAGTTTTGTGCTAAATTAATATAATATTAATATAATTATTGCAGTCTTTAGTTGTATGAGGTAATCTAACCTATATTGTTTGCAGACTGCTGACACATAAAAAACAATATATTATAATAATATAAATATATATGTAAAATATAAAAATTATTACTATGTTATTCTCCCGAGGGCTGATGATCTTGTGTTATTTGGTTGAGCTGCAAAATCGTTTCCTTTCCCAAACAGCACAGCAGTTTTCAAAACAGTGCACATAGTGAAATATAAAAATACCAGAGCAGGTTTTGATGAAGAAATTATAGTAAAAAAAACATAAACTAATGAGACAAAAAGACAAAAATGTTAGATTTATTTTTAGATTCATCATACTTTGTCTTCCAAATGCAACAGTTGACACAGTTTTTGATCTTCAGATTTTTATTGAACATGACACACACCAAAATCAAATTATTCAGATGAATTTGATTATTCTAGTGTGTTTTTTACTGGCTTTATAAATGTACACAGCAACAGTTCTTATCCAATAGTACAAGTGTCTGAGGTAAATGCTGTGCGCAGGTGTGTCTGACCCTGACGGCCAAGCGCATGGCCAAGAAGAACTGTCTGGTGAAGAACCTGGAGGCTGTGGAGACCCTGGGTTCCACTTCAACGATCTGCTCCGACAAGACAGGAACCCTGACCCAGAACCGCATGACTGTGGCTCACATGTGGTTTGACAACCAGATCCACGAGGCAGACACCACCGAGGATCAGTCTGGTGAGAAATACTACTACTACTGCTATTACTTATACTTCTACCACTGTACTACTACTATTACTACTACTGAAACCACCAGATCCACTAGGCAGACACCACAGAGGATCAGTCTGGTGAGAAATACTACTGATACTACTACTACTACTACTGCTACTGCAACTACTACTACTGCTACTGCTGCTGCTGCTACTACTACTACTGCTAATATTTATACTACTACTATTACTACTGCACAAGGCTGACACTACAGAGGATAGTCCAGAGAGGGCAGACGAGCTAAGCAGAGGAATACAAATACTACTATTGCTGCTAATATTACTACTACTACTTCTACTACTTCTGTTGCTCCTGCTTTACTATTGACGGTACTACAAATACTGCTAATACTAATAATACTACTTCTGCAACAATACTACTGTTCCTTGTTTACTGCTACTACTGCTTCTGCTACTCCTACTAATACGACTACTGCTTCCATTACTAATACTACTAAAACTACTGTCTAAAGTACTACTATTATGACTGTTGCTAATACTATGGCTACAATTACTACTACTATATCATTAGTAGTACAATTGCTGTTGCTATTACTACTACAACTACTACTACTAGAAATAATATAGTTTCTATTTGTTGGCATCTTTCTGAATATCCAAAGTCAACAACAACAACTACTACTACTACTACTACTGCTACTATTACTATTACTATTACCACTACCACTAATACCATTAATACTGCAAGTACTACTGCTAATAAAGAAAGTTTTGTTTATACTGCATGAAGAGTATTCAAATTAGTTTGTGTTTTCAGTACATTGAGACAGTTTTTAACAGTAGGACACACTGAAAAAACAGGACTGGACAGAAACTAATACTGTTCTTCTTCCAGGTGCTTCGTTCGATAAGTCGTCGATCACATGGCAGGCGTTGTCGCGCGTGGCCGGTCTGTGTAACCGCGCTCAGTTTAAGGCGGGACAGGACTCCATCGCCATCCTGAAGAGGGACGTGGCAGGAGACGCCTCCGAGTCGGCCCTGCTCAAATGCATCGAGCTCTCGTGTGGATCAGTCAGACAGATGAGAGACAGGAACAAGAAAGTGGCCGAGATCCCGTTCAACTCCACCAACAAATACCAGGTGAGAACTCCCATCGCTGCAAAAATCACTGATGATAATTTTGCTTAAAAATAAATAAATAAATAATCATAAATGATTGAAACAGCAAATAATTTCAAACTTCATGCAGGCTTAATTGAGGTGACTTTTAACATCAGTGAAGGTCTTATTATCTTTAAAAACAACTATTCCATCAGTTAGGTAATCCCTGACCAAACCTGGCTAAAGATTTGGTACCTGACATTAAACACCAAATGCTCTCTCCTCTCCTCCCTTTAGCTCTCAGTGCACGAGACAGAAGACCCCAATGATAACCGCTACCTGCTGGTGATGAAGGGGGCTCCGGAGAGGATCCTGGAACGCTGCTCCACCATCATGATCCAGGGCAAAGAGCAGCCCATGGATGAGGAGTTGAAGGACTCTTTCCAGAACGCGTACATGGAGCTGGGAGGACTGGGAGAGAGAGTGTTGGGTAAGAACATGTCTAATGGACAGAAGGGCTAAAGATGAATGAGGATATAGTTGAATTCACAGTCTGAATAGTTCAAATCAGAAAATCCTAAAGGCTGCACTGATTTTAATAACATGATTTCAACTACCATATTTTTCAGACTATAAATCTCTCTGGACTATAAGTTGCACTTTTGGGGAAAATTTATTTTATAAAATCAGAGACCAGGAACAGACATTTCATGTTGAAAGGCAAGTTCTAGTAATAACAATAGAACAGAGAACAACAGACTGTTAACGTCAAATATGAACAGTTCTTCAGATAATCTATAACATAAACAACAGAACAAGTTTACCAAACTCTACATCTCACTCCAAATCACTAAATAAATTAAATTCTTCATCTTTGGTGTCACTTCTGAGCAACTCCATGACCTCTAGAGGTAAACAGAGCGCCGCTTCCTCTTCTGTGTAGGTGTTGTCAGACTCAGCATCAGTTCCAGTTAGAATTAGTCTGGCCTTTCTGAATCCCGACAGGATGGTTTCAGTTGTCATTGAAGTCACTTAAATTTTAATTTTCAGTGGTGCAGAAGTAATGTTGCGATCGACTGACATGATACAGACAGGACAGAGGCTCTTTCTGTAGGAGACATGCGCAGTAGAGCCAAGTGACAGTGGTACAGGAGGAACAGGAGCAGCAGATACTAGAGCCTCTCCACGCTTCAGTGTGAACATTTTAATATACAAGTTGCACCAGAGTATAAGTCACAGGAAACACCCAAGCCACAAAAAAAAGTGTGAATTATAGTCCAAAAAATATAGTAGTTTGTATAAACCAAAAGCAAGGGAATTAGTTAGCGATAATTTCATATAATGAAGTCAGATGTACAGTGTGATTATTATTATTACATTTCTCTTCACTTCATTTCAGGTTTCTGCCATCTGCTGCTGCCTGAGGACCAGTATCCAAAGGGCTTTGCCTTCGACACAGATGATGTGAACTTCCAGACAGAGAACCTTTGCTTCGTGGGTCTCATGTCCATGATCGACCCCCCCAGAGCCGCGGTGCCCGACGCTGTGGGCAAGTGCAGATCCGCTGGTATCAAGGTAATGTTCATGTTTTTTGTAATATTAATGTTTTAATGTAAAAAATAAAGATAATCATAGGTCATAGATAAGTACTTTTTATTATTTTGTATTTTTAAAGTTTATATGGTGAAAATTCACTAACATGCAGCAGCAATATTCAGGGTTTTTCTTAAAGTGGGAGTATGGCTGTCAGCTGTGAATACTGAAGAGTCTCTGAATATCCCATATACAGTATTTCTTTGATGCATTGTTGATTTCTTTCCCCTCACAGGTTATCATGGTGACTGGAGACCACCCGATCACAGCTAAGGCCATTGCCAAAGGTGTGGGCATCATCTCCGAAGGAAACGAGACCGTGGAAGACATCGCACTTCGTCTAAATATTCCCGTCAGCCAAGTCAACCCCAGGTAAAGATGTCCACATAAACCAGTACTGACAGTCATGTCTTTGTAGGTCAAAATACAATTGTCAGAACTAAGAAATAATAATCAGGGCAATTTTAAGCAGTAATGGAACATAATGAAGTAAAAGTAGTGTATTTAAGTGCTGTACTTAAGTAAAAAATGCAGGTATCTCTACTTTACTTTACTGTACTGTCCATTTTAAAGTGGATACTGTTTACTTTTTACATTTGAAGGCAGGTATCTGTACGTTCTTTTCCACTACATTTTTTGATCAGGATTGAAAAGTAAAAGTATTTTTTATGACACTTTGAGATGTACTGAAAAGGCTGAGGGTTATTTTTAAGACATTTGTAGTTTGGGGAAACAAAAAACACAAATAAAAGCAGCTAGGACAAAAATATATAAATTAAATTGTTTCTGTTTTACAAAATTCATCTCAAATCTTCATCATATTCACAAGATTTAAAGCCTTATAAGACCTCAAAATTGGTGCTGAATACTTATACTTGTACTTTAATACTTTTTCTTGAGGAGATTTTTCATGTGATACTTATACTTGAGTATTTTTTGCACCAGTATTTGTACTTTTACTTAACTAACAACACTGAGTACTTCTTCCACTACTGATTTTAAGGCAATGTAATCTCTACTGAAAAACTGTAGATTCTATTAATAAAATCTAATTTGGTAACACTTCAGTTTAGGGATAACACATTAATAACTAAGTGCTAATTGGTTTTCTAATTAGCAGTTACTTAGTTATTAGTTGATATTAATTAAACACTGATTAATGCTTATTAAGATTTCAGTGTGTGCACAAAAACATCTGTTGTAATCTCCAAGACTTTAACGGGAAGAAAAACGTTAATGTGTTGTACTCACAAAAATACAGCCTTAGAAAAAAATGTACTTTATAAAGACTAAACAAGGTGTACTGAAGCAGCTATTATGCATTTTACTATTAACGAGCTATTAATATGTGGTCCGTAATCTAAAATATTACCTCTATTTATTTATTTATTTTTATTTAAAGGAAGTATTTCACTGCTGTTTGGTTTCACTAATGGTAAAAGTGTCGTGTTCTCGAGCTGTAACACTAAAATAACACAAATTCTGAAATAAGTTCCCTAATGCGCCGTACCGTAATCGGTTTTATTTTGTTTTCAGAGACGCCAAAGCCTGTGTGATCCACGGCACGGACCTGAAGGAGCTTTCGCAGGACCAAATGGACGACATCCTGAGGAACCACACGGAGATTGTTTTTGCCAGAACTTCTCCACAGCAGAAGCTCATCATCGTGGAAGGATGCCAGAGACAGGTACGGTACACTGATACTGACTGACAGCTCTGAACGTGACTGCTGTTACGCACGCTCACCAGCAGAGGGCACTATTTATCCAGTTTAGACACATATCCACGCCTCATATCAGATAAGGTTTAGGAAAAAAAAAAAGATCAAATTATTTTTAAACAGTATTTGTGCACTACCAAAAATGCTGCTGTTTTACACTAAAGTACAACTTATTTTATTTATTTATTTTTTTGTAGTTTTTATTTTTTTAGTTTTTGTAGTTTTATGCAGTCTTGATTTTTATTTATTTATTTATTTTTTCTAATAATATAATTTTCTTAGCCTCCTTCTTACCCCAGATAATTTAAATGTTTACTATACGCCTTTTCTATCGGGGCGTCCAAAACCTACATATCTCCATGGAAATCTTATTGCTCTGCTATGAATGTCCCACAGTATGGCATTAACCTTATCTATCCTGCATTTAGGTTTATTTGTATAGCACAGTTCGTACGCAACTTAATTCAAAGTGCTTTACGGAATAAGAAATACATTAAAATTACAATAAATTAAAACTAATCAAAACATAAATAATCATCATAAAATTAAGAGAGTGAGACATTAAATTAGAGAGAAGAATGCAGAATGAAAAATGAAAACCTTTCCTTACAGAACTGTTTTGAGCCTGGATTTCAACAGAGTCAAAGTAAAGTTCTGTCTCACATCTTCAGGAAAACTAGTCCAGGTTTAAGCTGCATGAATGTGAAACGCTGACTTTATCCAAATACAGATGTTTATTTACTGCTCAAATGTACCTTCACATTGTATATATTTACCACAGATCTGATTCTAACTCGACTTGGTGCCATCGCCTGCTTGTTGCCGTGGAGACAGAAAAGTTACACAGTGCACTTTTAACCTAATTTACAGACAAGTCAAATATTCTCAGTCCAATGAATTAGGTTTGAAATAAGACCTTTTTATCTCATGTAAATATATTTCTGTAGAATATCGTTTTAAATGAGTCTGTCAAATGCTTTTCTCCATGAAGATGTTATTGCTTTGTCTGGAATGTTTCACAGTATGGCATTAAAGCTTTCCATCTTCATGGAACCCAAACCTGGCCAAGTTACAGGTCAGATCTGTGGTGAAGCGACCCCACTCACAGTCAGAATCATGTCTTTCTCGGTATTTTTGAGCTATAAAACCACTTGTAATTGAATAAATGTAAAGTAGAGCTGTTTAATGTCACACTGTGGAACATTCCAGGCAGAGCAGTGATATCTCCATAGCAACAAGCAGGTGATGGACCCCCAAAAAGTTACATAGTGCACCTTTAATATAATTTTCTTGCCGTGTTATGCTGTCTTGATCTATATGAAGCATCTTTGAGTGTCAAGAAAATCTCTACACAAGCGTTATGTCTTGTTATTATTATTATTATGTTTTCAGGGAGCCATCGTAGCTGTGACCGGGGACGGTGTGAACGACTCTCCCGCTCTGAAAAAGGCTGATATCGGCGTTGCCATGGGGATCTCGGGCTCAGACGTGTCTAAACAGGCGGCGGACATGATCTTACTGGATGACAACTTCGCCTCTATTGTGACTGGAGTGGAGGAAGGTGAGAGAAGACAAAGAAAAGAAATCTACAATAATCAAGTTATTCTGACAGTTTGAAATTGAAATTACGGATAATAACAATGACCTGAGCCATTATGATTTATGGATTATGTGTTATGTGTTGTAATATTTGCTTATTCAGAGTGGTATTTTGAGTGATTGTGTCTTGCATTTGAGTTCTGATGGCTCCAAAAACGTATTTTCACCTACCCCCATCACTGCCTATAGAGTTATGTGCCTCCTTGAGATCGATTATACAAAAAAAAAAAAAAAAAAAAGAAATTGCATAGACATTTTCAAATAAATAAATACATTTATAACAAAAAATGTGAAATACCTCTATGAACTTTTGTAACTTTTCTGGTGGAGAATCAAATGTTTTTCTCCACAGAGATGTTATTGCTTTGTCTGGAATGCTTCACAGTATGGCATTAAACATTTCTATCTTCATGGAGATGAAAACCAGGCGGAGTTACAAGCCAGATCTGTGGAGAGGCGACACCGCTCACAGTCAAAATGTCGTTTTTTCTAGGTGTTTTTGAGCTATAAAACCGCCTGTATTTGAATAAATGTAAAGTAGAGCTGTTTAATGTCACACTGTGGAACATTCAAGGCAGAGCAATGGTATCTCCATGGAAACAAGCAGGTGACGGGCCAAAAAGTTACATAGAGCACCTTTAATATTTGAGAAGAAGTGCATTAGATGGAAGTTTACTACAATTACAATTACTATAACTACCTTGAATTAAAATAATAAATAATATAAAATGATCACTATTGGAACAAAAGCGCAAATACGTTTCTTTCTATTGATAAAAAATTACATCCACAACTGTAAAATTAAAATTATTAAGTCAATTACAGACACAAAACCTGATGTTCAGCTGATTATAATCGCTATAATCTGTTCAGAGACACTTGTTAAACCCGTATTTCTTTCCTTGTTTCTTCAGGGCGTCTGATCTTTGATAACCTGAAGAAGTCCATCGCCTACACTCTCACCAGTAACATCCCCGAGATCACTCCCTTTTTGTTCTTCATCATCGTCAACATCCCTCTGCCTCTGGGAACCATCACCATCCTGTGTATCGACCTGGGCACGGACATGGTAAAACAGCTCAGATAAACGCCTGATTTAAGCCCTCGTCTGGTCTACACTGACAGGGTTCATACACACACCATTTTGTATTCTTTTTTTTTTTGGAATCTAGTTTAAATTGTATTCAAACAAAGCTCTTAAATTTTTAGGCCCCCTTTCTGGTCTATAATGACGACAGGGTTCATACAACTTACAAAAAATTAAATTCAAGCACTTTTCATTAAGGTTGCAGTGACTAATCGGATTACTAGTGATTAATCGATTATTGAACGGTTTAATTTAATGATCAGTAATCGTAATTTGGAAGAATCTGGAGAACCTGAATGAATATAACACGTCACAATGGAAAAGAAGTGACAGTATTTTAATATCTGTAAAGAGATATTGACGTAATCTGGCCTGAATTGGATTAAAAATAAACATTTGACAAGCCAATAAATAATATTAATTAAAATAAATAAATATAATAAAAATAATGAATGAATGAATAAATAAATAAATAAATAAAATAGGACCGTTGTGATGGTGATTAACAATTGAAAACAAAGTAATATGTCTTTTGAAAGGGGGAAGTCCTCTAAAAGTTCAGGTAACCAATGAATAGTTTAATCTGAACCAAAGTACTTAGTAGTATATAAGTATATTTTTGATTTCCTCCAAATAAATTGCAAGTTAATTTTTAAAAAGTTTTAATAAAATGAAAAAAGGTGAAAAAAAAACAAACATCATTTGGAATGTGTACAGAGACATATTTACTAGGGATGTAACAATAACTGAAAAATCGTGATATTGTATTCGTCAAAAGTCTCACAATAATATCGTGGGCCGTCACAATATATCGAAAAACAAGTTTATTTGCTTAAATACATGGTTTTATAGTAGCAACAGCTTATAAACATCGGAAACTACATATCCCATGATTCATTTCAGTGCAGACAACATGAAGAGATATGTTTTTTACTTGAATTCTTGGGATTATGATGGAAATAATTCACTCCAAAATCTTGTCAAGGTGTTTTAAAAGCAGAAACGTATCCCATCTACAGTTATATCAGCCTCTTCAAAATATCGCAATAAATATCGTACTGTGAGATTCGGATATCGTTACATCCCTCATATTTACCCACTGTAGACCAGCAAAGACGCAAAGTAGTTCCTCTGTCTCAAATAATCTTCACTGTTTTAACGTTTTACCCGCTTAGAATCACCAAACTTCAATCAAGTAACACAGAAATTTCTCAAATTATTTCACACACTGATACAAACCCGCGCAGAATATACAAAGGTGTGAGAATCCAAAAGTTCACAGTGGTTTTGTCCCTCAGGTCCCTGCCATCTCCTTGGCCTACGAGGCGGCAGAGAGCGACATCATGAAGAGGCAGCCCAGGAACCCCTTCAGGGACAAGTTGGTGAACGAGAGGCTCATCAGCATTGCCTACGGACAAATCGGTGCGTTCAAGTTACACGAGAACGTTACGGTAAATCTGAGCTGTGGGATGTATTTGGTGCGGTGGTGAGATAAACTTTCAAGAAAACAAAACTCATTCATAGATTTTAGGACTTTAACTGTAACTTTTCTTTTTGGAGGGATACACCACCTACTTGTCTCCATGGAGATGTTATTGCCTTGCCTGGAATGTTCCACAGTATGCCCTTCATTTATACAGTAGATCACTATGGATATAAGGAGATGATGACACTACTAGCTTAAGGTACAAGTCAGATCTGTGGAGAGGCAATCTCGATCTCAGACTACGTTTACACTGAAACGAATCACCGTATCGGAAACGATCTACGTCCAGACACGTCGTTTCTGTGTCCGCAAACCTTCCCTCTCTATACAGTTTTGAGCATATTTATTTACGTTTTACAGAAAAGAAACTTAAAACCGCATGGCTAATTTGCATAAACTGAGCGCTCAAAAACCAGCTCGCTATTGTGTGTTGATGTGGTTCAGCTTCTGTGGGACTAAAGGACACGACTCAGTGGAATATGAGTGTTCTTTCTGTGACAGAGGGGTGTTCTGCTGATGGTGAGTCTGTTCTGTGCTTCTGTCGTGTTAGAGATGGTTCATGTTAAACTTTTCAGAGATTATACGTCCGCAGGTCGTACAAACAGACCGTATAAATGAATGGACATATATTCTAGCCTCGTGTTTTGGCGGTGAATTACTTCGCAACGCACAGACCTACATCAGCGTATCACTATTTTCAAGCGTCCACACAGTGTCGGATTCGTACTCAGATGAATTCGTGGGAGCCGGCAGCACCAGATAGTTCCGTTTCTGGAGCAGTTTTCAATCAGATTAGTGTGGACGAACACTGCATCCACAACGAAAATGACTCGAATACTAGTGTGGATGAGGCCTCAGATTTCTTTTAGCAGTAGAAACATCTGTTGTTGAATAAAGGATAAGTTTAAAGCCATACTGTGGAAAATAACAATAGTAATAACTAGGGGTGTTACAATAACCGAAATATCGTGATATCGTATCGTCAAAAGTCTCAGTAATATCGTGGGCCATCACAATATATCGAATCAAAAGTTCCTTTGCTTAAATTAAACGTTATGGTGAAGCAATAGCTAAAAAAACAGAGGGAACTACATAGACCATGATCCTTTGCTCCGTTTTGGCTCAAACTACATGAAGAAATAACAGTTGTAAGCACTTTTAAGTCTTAGTTCTTTGATTTAAGTCTTTTTAAGGCATTTTAAAATGAAAAAGCAGCATATTCACAACAAAATATCGGAATAAATACCGCAAATACTGTCAGATTTGGATATCGTTACATCCCTGGTAATAACATCTCCATGGACACAAGCAGATGGTTTTCTTCATCAGAAAAGGTACATGATGCACTTTAAAGGTGTATTGAACTGAATGTATGTTTTTGTTTTTGTTGTGCACAGGGATGATCCAGGCTCTGGGTGGGTTCTTCACATATTTTGTCATCCTGGCGGAGAACGGTTTCCTGCCCTCTCAGTTAGTGGGCATCAGACTGAACTGGGACGACCGCGCATGCAATGATTTAGAAGACAGCTACGGACAGCAGTGGGTAAGGATCTTATACAGACTTTAGAGATGTGAATGAATGAGTAAAGAGAGATGTTAGAGAAGCTAAAAGTTGTAGATGTTGGAAGAGGTTTACTTCAACACAAACATTAGTCAATAAAAAGTGAAAGCATTGTGTCAGAAAACAAAAATAATAAATGAATAAAAACACATCTCTTTTTGTCTTATCTTTATCTAAAAAATCTGCATTTCTCCCTCAGACTTATGAACAGAGGAAGATCGTGGAGTTCACCTGTCACACGGCGTTCTTCGTCAGTATCGTGGTGGTGCAGTGGGCCGACGTCATCATCTGTAAGACCAGACGTAACTCTGTGTTCCAGCAGGGCATGAAGTGAGTCACACCTTCACTCTTTAACACAAGATCAGACTGTCGCAATCAAACCAAAATCAATTCAACGTGTTTTTGTTTCCCAGGAACAAGATCCTGATCTTCGGCCTGTTCGAGGAGACAGCTCTGGCTGCGTTCCTGTCCTACTGCCCCGGGATGGACGTGGCCCTCAGGATGTACCCTCTCAAGTGAGTCTCGTTTATATGAAAAAAAACAAAACATACTGTAGCATCTTACGGTAATGAATAGACGAATAGTTTACAAGATACTGCTTTATTACGAGAACTGAATTGGTGACTGTCGCCCAAAACCATGCCAGTACAATCAGGTTAACAGTCCAGTAGGTCCCGCTTAAAACTCGGACCGCGTTGCTCTTCAGAATAAAAAAAACTCCTCTAAACCCGTCTTCTTAACCCAAGTTCAGCCCCCTCCAACATTTGTCCAGTCACCTAGGCCAGGAACTTAACATAACACATAAAATAACAGTTATAAAAACAAGAACAAGGTTTTAACAAGTACGTTATTGCAGGTTGCTGCAGTACGTTGTTCTTGTGTTCTTGTGTGGGGCTGTGGAGCCAGTTACAGCATGACAGTCTGTCAAATAAAAGCTAACATCAAAAATATAAATAATTTCAGATAAAAAACAGGAACTTATAAAATATCTACAGGCATTTACTTTATTTTTTATTTTTTGTTAAATACCCAAACATTAAATCTATAAATATTTTTTTGGGGCAGATGAATGAAAATAATGACACCTTTGTGTTGGAAATACTGAACCAATTCCTTCGTGTGGTATTGGTAAAAATTAGGGGTTATGGTGCAGCAATAGCTAAAAGAAGACAGAGGGAACTACATAGACCATGATCCTTTGCTCCATTTCAGTGCAGACTACATGAAGAAATAACAGTTCTAAGCACTTTTAAGTCCCCTCGATTAAGTCTTGTCAACAGTCAACTTGTATTAACAGTTTTAGCTGTTTAGCCTGCACAAAATATCGTGATAAATATCGTACAGTGAGATGTATATCGTGAAAATATCGTACGGAGAGATTTGGATATTGTTACATCCCTAATCGTGAGCCTCCCTGCCATATCATGAGCTTTCCCACAATATCTCAATAAATATCGCACCGTGAGGTTCATACCATGACAATATCATATCGTGAATTTTGGATATCGTTACTCCCCAAGTGAAAAGTAATAGTATAAGTATCTTTTTAGTACATGGCAGACCTGGGCACAGCTCCAGGGCCACATACGGTCCTTTGGTTGACTCTGACCGGCCCGATTAAGCTCATTTGGAATTATAAAATGAACATATTTTATCACTGTACCTCATACATGGACTAAAGCTGCATTAGTTTTATTTTAGAGGTGTTTTTTGTAAAGCAACCTCACTCTTTCATAACATTTACTTTTACCAGCGCATAAAACAATGCCATTTCCTGCTTTTTATGAAGAAATACAATGGATATTATGCAGACCTGAGTTAAGCATTTTGGCCTGGCCCTACATAATATTTTTTGTTTCTCATGTGGTCCCATGGAAAAAAATAATTGCTCACCTCTGGTACACGGTATGAGTGATCCGTTTGTCAAAATATAATTGCATTTTTCAATCATAAAAAAAACTATTAGTGAAAACAGTTGCAAAACGGTTTAACTTGGTTCCAGTTTTGTAACTACAGAGATATTAACCATAAACCTAGTCAAAATATTTGTATTTGGACAGTTAAAACACTGCCTTGAGACTCAATTTTAAACTATGGGTTTTGGCGTAGAAAGAAATTTTGATTAACCTGTTGTTTTTTTCTCTCCACAGACCAACGTGGTGGTTCTGCGCATTCCCATACAGCTTCCTCATCTTTGTTTATGATGAAATCCGAAAACTGCTCATTCGCCGCAACCCTGGAGGTCAGTATCCGCTGTCTAACTCTGCGAAATTCCCAAACTCTGTCGCATTTGTCTAATCCATGTCACTGTGTCTCCCTCTGCAGGTTGGGTGGAGCGGGAGACGTACTATTGATGGAAATGCCCCGTTTTACGCTCCCAAAACCTTCCTCCTCGTTCCTTAAGCCATTTCATCTCAGCAAGATCTCATTTTCGGACACCCCTTATAAGGACTACGACGCTTTTACGCAATTTTCATCACAACTGCCCAAAGATTCAAACTGCAAAAAGTCCTTTACAACTTTCTACATGGCCCCTCCCCCCCTTCCTCTTCCCCTTCCTTCCTTCTCTCTTTTCCTCTTCTGTCTTACCCTTCATCTTCTATAATACTCTTTGCATGTGTACATAAAACAATATATATTTACCAAGAGGCAGCTGCATAACGTGTAAGTTTGACTGAGCTAAGGAAACAAAGAGAGGGTCATATGCTCTGCAACGAGACCCCCCCGAAGCCCCACCCCCTCTCACCCGATCGCCCGAAAACCCCGATCACCTTCCTCCCATAGCCATCTTTTATCGTCCGGATCGAACTTTCACTCGGACCGACCGCACACACACGTACACGAGAAACACTGCCCGGAAAATCAAACCATCGACTTGAGTTAAAATCGCTTTGAATTCTGAATTTAAACTTGATTTGAGAAATTTGGACAAGATTAACATTTTTTATTTATGTATTTCTGATTTGTTTCGATGTGTTTTTTCTCTGTGGGTGAAGTCATATTTTTATGACTTGCGTGAAAAATTGCAACACCGCTGACGAAAATACGCTGAAATCGAAAAGTAACCGAAACGAAATGACTGTTCTGGATTCTCAAGCCGTTTTAACTCCTTCGTTTTTGCCGTGTTCGTCCCTCCATCCGTCGGAAACCACAGTATTATTTGTTCAGATGTGTTCTGGGGGCGGGGTTTAATCATTTTCATCTTCTTTAAAGGAGGGGCACGAGTGTGTGTGAGCGCTGCTTTAAACCGCGTAGGCCCGACAAAGCACACCCAACATGGCGTACCATCCCACAATGTACAAAAACGAACCATCTAGTCTCGGTTAAAATGGCTCAGAATAATCGAGTAATCGTGAGAAAAACGTTTAAGATCACGATTTATGTTTTGACGATGCAGAAGTATGGTTAAAAACATGAAAATTTTAAAGAAACGCTGCAAAAAGAGAGAATAAAATGACAAATAATACAAACTTGCAACGTAATTTTCCATATAAAATCAAATTTAACTTTTTTGCTTTGAGTGAATTTTAAAGAAAAAAAATTTAGATTAAAATTAGAATTAATACAAACTTGGAGCGTAATGTTCCGTATAAGAACAAATTTAACCTTTTTGCTTTGAGTGAACCTATATACAAGTATAATTTAGCGCATTTCTGATAAATTTTCAAAATAAACTTAAGATATTTTTATGAAGGCAAGCCAAAAACATATTAATATTGTAATTTTCATGAGATTTTCATACACAATTGGCTGTTAATTTGACTTAAAGAATTAAAAAAGGTCAAATTATCATTGCTCTACCAACTAAATTAAACGTCTCCGTAAAAATCTGCTGGAATAATTCTGAGTTTAAGCCGTTTTAAATCGATCTAGATGTTGTTTCTTTGCAGTGCAGCCGCCTTCTCCTCTTCTCCTCTCTCTCTCTCTCTTCCACTCCTTTCCTGCCCCGTTTGTGTGCTGTGTGAACCGTCCTCGATAATACTTAAACAAACCATTCTTTCTGTGTGCTCTAGAAAATATATAATTCAGTAATATGAACTTTAAACGACTACAATCACATCTTCATGAAATGACAATGCAATGCAAGACAAGTACTGTATTTGTTCGGTTTCCAGTCACTTTCGCTTCTCAATAAAAGCAGGGTTGAAGCTTTCAGGTTCTGTGTGCTTGGTTCTGGTGTCGCAGTGTGCCGTGGTGAGTCAGTGGGGCTGTGCGTGCATGTGTGTGGGAGACCGGTGAGCGGCCAGTAATCTCAGGCTATAAAGTTTAGGGCGGATTCAAGATGGCTAAACCAATGGGAAACGAATATAAGAGAATAAAACGAGACCACGCATCAAGTAGAGCAAGTGTGTCAAACTAATGAAATCGACTCAATAAAACATCTAGAACATTTAATACAAACCGTCTCTCTGTGTGTTTATTTCTGAATGTCTCGGTCTGTTGTCAACATGTGAGGTTATCGACGGGTTTCAGAATTATGAAAAGTTATTATCCGAAACTAAATATGTTGGAAATACTGTATCAGTTCCTTTGTGTGGTATTAGTGAAGTAAAAGTAATAGTATAAGTATCTTTTAGTACATGGCAGACGTGGGTACAGCTCCAGGGTTGGCCCATTTAAGCTCATTTGGAATTACAAAATAAGCATATTTTATAATTTTACCTCATGCATGGACTAAAGCTGCATTACTTTTATTTTAGAGGTGTTTTTTTATGACCCTGACTTTTTCATAACATAAACTTTTACCAGTGCGTCAAAACAACTGCTTTTCATAAAGAAATTCAATTCATATTATGCAGAATTGAATTAAGCTTTTGGCCTTGACCCTCCATAATATTTTGTTTCTCATGTGGCCCCATGGAAAAAATAATTGCCCGTCCCTGGTAGATGGTATGAGTGATCTGTTTGTCAAAATATAATTACATTTTTCAATTCATATTCATATTCATACTATATAAAAATCATATTTAAAGTGGCTAAAAAGTTATTTAGAGAACCGGAAAGAGTTTGTGAAACTGGGGGAACACAGCTCTTCACTGTCTCTGTCCTGCCACAAGGGTCTGTGTTAGGACCTAAATTATTTATTTTATACATTAATGATCTTTGCAAAGTGTTTACATTGTTTAAAGCAACTCCGCGACCCGGCCCCAGATAAGAGGAAGAAAATAGATGGATGGATTAATAACTGTGGTGTTCTGACACATCTTAACATTTAAACAAATAAACTAATGATTTTCTGACTTATTACCATGAAAACAAATAAACTGTCACCTACACACTTTATTTACTGAAAATAGTCACGTTTTTACACAGCACTTTTCCACTTTGATGAGACTCAAAACACTTTACATTAAGGAACGACTCATTCACACACACTCTCATACAGAAGAAAGGCGGGATAAGTGCCCTGCCTGAGGACACAACAACAGTATTGATCTGTAGGAGGTGGAATTGCGTCGTTAAACATCAGTGCCAGAGTGGTCAGGTTATGTCGAGAGCGGGAATCAAACCACCAACCTTCGGATCAGAGGATAAACACGAACACCAACTGAGCCACTGTCACCCAAAATATATTATTATATATTATTTTTTTTATTTAAATGATACTGTGTGTCAATATGTGGTGTAAAACTCTGAAACAATCTGGATAAACATGTCAAGCAACACCAACATATCCATAAATTCAAGTTTTTCTATAAACATATGGTCTGGTCACAGTATAAAGAGAGTTGGTCATAATATTAGAACAAAACTTCCTTCTGTAGTGCTGATTTATGTTTGTGTTTTCTTACCATTGCTAGTTTGTTCCGTCCATTAAATTATTTGTATCTTGTATACTACCAAACTAAAACAGGTACTCATTATCCGAACTTGTAAAAAGTTTATATAGTTTAATGCAAAATGTCTGAAAAATGCAAAAAGAAAGCTCATCGTGTTCGATTAAAAGAGTGGGAGTTGGATTAATTAAGTTTTCTTCTTCCCACTCCTTTCTGGGCAAATTTTATGTTGTGTTTATTTTCATTTCTATTATAATTTCATCTATATTACAAGTTCCATTGTATAAGAATGTAAATCTTTAAAATAAATACATAAAAATAAATAAATAAATACTCATTTGACATTATGATTCGTCACATTTTGAGACAGATGCGCGTGTTACTGCACTAAATGTTACTGTTTATTTTGTACGATCATAAACGATAAACTGTGTGCTTACTTCAACATTATTATTAGTTAGGACGACCATAAACAAAAATATATTTCTGCCTGTATCTATAAGTGAGTTATGGATATGTGTATAAACATTTATGTTGAGTATTTGCACTGGATATCCTTGCGTATGTATGTATGTATGTATGTATGTATGTATGTATGTATGTATGTATGTATATTTATGCAATACATACAACAGGCAAGCTCTCCAAAGGTGTTAAAAAAAAAGAAAAAAAAGTATGAACTGCATGTTTACCAGGTCCCAAATATCTTCATGTACATATCCCTGTTTTTGATGTTGTTGTTGAATTTTGTTGTACTTTGCTCAAACAAATAAAATTAATGAATGAATGAATAAAAGTATAATTAGAATGAAGTGTCAATTACTTGAGTAAACAGTGCTGGGTGTAACTGAATAACTATTATAAATATCCATCCATCCATCCATTTTCGTCCGCTTATCCGGGGCCGGGTCGGGGGGCAGCAGTCTAAGCAGGGACTCCCAGACTTCCTTCACCCCAGACACATCCTCCAGCTCCTCCGAGGCGTTCCCAGGCCAGCCGAGAGACATAGTCCCTCCAGCGTGTCCTGGGTCTTCCCCGGGGCCTCCTCCCGGCGGGACATGCCCGGAACACCTCCCGAGGGAGGCGCCCAGGAGGCATCCGGAACAGATGCCCGAGCCACCTCAACTGCTCCTCTCGACGTGGAGGAGCAGCGGCTCTACTCCGAGCTCCTCCCGTGTGACTGAGCTCCTCACCCTGTCTCTAAGGGAGCGCCCAGCCACCCTGCGGAGGAAACCCATTTCAAGCGCTTGTATCTGCAATCTCATCCTTTCGGTCACTACCCAGAGCTCATGACCATACCACCTATGGTATTATAAATATTTGTAATTAAATACTTGTAATTAAATACTTGTATAGAGTTACTAACAAAATACTTACAATTACACTACTGCTTGAGAAGACAGTGTAATCTTCCTTTGCAAACATAGATTTAAAGTGAGAGGGCCCATATTTTAAAATTCACAAAACTTTCCGACGCAAGTCAATAGAAATTATTTGTAAATCACAAAATAAAGGGGGATTTGAGCATTACTGAACATTAATGAGGATATTTTATTATCGACTGAGTGAACGAACAGAGAAAAAAAAAAGCAAATGTGTTTAAAATTATGCTTTTGATGTTTTGTATTTGTTGTTTGGTGTTGCTCTATGTTTTTGTGTTTTGTTTTTATGTTGATTATTGTATTTTGCTATTGTATGCTATATTTTGTTGTCTTTAATAAACAAACAACAACAACAAAAAACAGGAATTAAACCAGCAATAAAAGGATCCATAAGTCGCCTATTTGGACATTAAACATAGCCCATTTCTTTTTTTTTTTTTTTTCCAACATTCAATTGGAACAAAATAGTCAGTAAAATAATTACAAAAAGATTCGAAATGATAGACAACATGCGTCAGAGCTTTATATTGCAGACCTACATACAAAAATACAATAAAAAAAAAAAAAAAAATTTAAATCTCTCTCTTTGGGAAAAAATTAAATACAGGCATTTATTATATTATTATTATTATTATTATTATTTATTTTTTTATTATTTATTATTTATTATTATTATTATTATTATTTATTATTATTATTATTATTTTTATTTTCTTTTTTTTCAAATTTTTATAGTTTGGAGAGACTAAAATGTATTTGAAATATACTGAACAGGCCATGGCTCAGGTTTGTGAATCCAGAGCTTACACCTGCCGTCCACGTGACTCTCTCTGCACAAAACACAAACTAAACTTTTGCAGAGCAGCTCCTCCTCTTCATCAGTGAATGTCAGATCCGGCATCTTCGGCTCGTACGCGCCCGGGCCCACACGCCGACGTCACGAGGTGTCCGCAGGGCCGACAAACCCGCTCACACACACCCCTCGCACAGTCCTCGCTCGTGGCTCTAATTTCCCTTGTGTCTCTGCAGCGTGGTCTCTCTGCAGTGCGACTCCCTCCTCCTCCTCCTCCTCCTCCTCCTCCTCCTCTTCCTCGCTCTCCCCCATCGCCACCCTGCGTATAATAGAATATCGATCGGTGCCTCTGCCGCAGTGTGTCTGTGGACCGGCGAGGGCCCTCCAAGGTCATTGCCATGGCAACGGGAGCACGGGGTCCTCCGGCTGCGCTGTCACGGAGCAGGGGTCGCCGGGGTCACGCCAAAAAAAAAAAAAAAAAAAAAAAGGGGGGGACAGGAGGAGAGGAGAGGAGAGAGGGGGGAGGAGCCACAAGGGTCTGACCTGGACTGGACCACAGAGTATTTAAACCCAAACAGAATAACAAGGTAATGCACAGACTATAAACCAGGACTAAACCAGGACTAAATCAAAACTAGCCCAGGACTAAACCAGGACTAAACCTGGACTAAACCCAGGACTAAACCTGGACTAAACCTGGACTAAACCAGGACTAAACCATGACTAAACCAGGACTAAACCAGGACTAAAACCCAGGACTAAACCAGGACTAAACCTGGACTAAACCAGGACTAAACCAGGACTAAACCCAGGACTAAACCAGGACTAACCCAGGACTAAACCAGGACTAAACCATGACTAAACCCAGGACTAAACCAGGACTAAACCCAGGACTAAACCTGGACTAAACCATGACTAAACCCAGGACTAAACCCAGGACTAAACCCAGGACTAAACCCAGGACTAAACCCAGGACTAAACCTGGACTAAACCCATGACTAAACCCAGGACTAAACCCAGGACTAAACCAGGACTAAACCCAGGACTAAACCCAGGACTAAACCCAGGACTAAACCAGGACTAAACCAGGACTAAACCCAGGACTAAACCAGGACTAAACCAGGACTAAACCCAGGACTAAACCCAGGACTAAACCAGGACTAAACCCAGGACTAAACCCAGGACTAAACCTGGACTACACCTGGAATAAACCAGGACTAAACCATGACTAAACCAGGTCTAAACCAGGACTGGACTGGACTAAACTGGACCAGGACTGATTATTATAACCATCCACTGATCTCAAACGTTTTTGTAAAATAAACTGATCTAAATGTTATAAAAAAAAAAAAAAAAAAAAGACTATTTCAAACTATGACCAAGAAATAGTGAGTGATGAGGGCCACTAAACAGAGAAACCTGCAAAGCAAAGACACGAGCACAACAAAAAGTACAAAAACAGTATCTGTGTGTCATAAGCGTGTGGATGTGCATGTACGTTCCTTCGCGGGCAGGTGTGTGCATGTATGTCCGTGTGTGCATGTATGTCCGTGTGTGCATGTATGTCCGTGTGTGCATGTATGTCCGTGTGTGCATGTATGCAAATGTACATGTATATGAGGGAGGGGGAGCGTTCAGATCAGGAGGTGTTTTGCTTGAGGGGTTGGCCGGCCTGGTTGCTGGACGGGTGGACACTTGCAGGGCCCTGAGGGTGTCCCCAACATTCCGGCATGGAGGCCCGTGGGCGTGGCTCGGCCTGCTCCGACTCGAGTGGGGATCCGAGGCAAAGCTCCATTACAGACTTAAAAGGGATAGTTCAGAATTTTGGACATAGGGCCTCATTTCCTAGTTTGCCAGAGTACTGTAGATGTGTGAAGACATGTTTTGAAATATTCCATCCAGTCCTTGTATTCGCAGAGGTCGCTGGTGTTAGACTAGTGCATGTCAATGGCCATAGTTATCCTGCCACTAAAAACAGTCTTACCCACTCCACAAAACACCTGAAACAAATCTATTATTACACCAGACTGTCCATGTAAACGTCTGTGTTGATAGAATCATTTTAGTAAGTAAGTAAAACCAACCTTGTATTGCATGAATCGTCGCATGTTGAGGGACTATTTTCTCAGCAGCAGCGGAATTTTACTCTGCTCTAGTTAGTTTAGATGATATGAACATGGCCACATCTGGAACCTTCTTCATCATGTGCTCTATGGCTGCGTTCAGACTGCAGGGCTTAACGCTCAATTCTGATTTTTTTGTGAAATCCGATGTTTTTGCGAGGTCGTTCACATTTCCAATTAAATGTGACTTGTATGTGACTCCAGTGTGAACATTAAACGGCCCGAAAGTGTCCAGCATGCACACTGGAGACACGACGACGTCAACCGCAGCGAGCGTGCTCTGTGTTTATGGAAGTTGTCCAAACATGGACGCGAGCATTGAAGCACCTGGTGATTTTAAAGTTCCTCTCGTACCGGAGCCAGAACATGAACAACTTACTTGTTTTAAGGAGGAGATTGAGAAGGAGAAGGACGAGGTTTTTGGCCGTGGTGTTTTGTGGGACAGCGGCAGCGACGTCCGTTGAAAGGAACGTGTGGATGTGGAGACGTAGCCAAGAGTGGTGAGTGGTGATGTGCTTCACTTCAGTGACACAGAGTTCATTAACAATTTTCGCCTACTTCAGTGCAGAATAGTGACGTTTGTCGCTTGTTAATAACGTGTAGGTCGGATGAATGTGCTTTGGCCGTTCAGACTGAAGTCGCATGTCAAAAGATCAGATATGTATCGGTTTCAGGAGCACATATCCAAGTGTCCTGGGTCACATTTGAAAAAATCGGATCTGTGTCGTTCAGACTGTCATTAAAAGATCAGAAACAGGAACATAGAGGCCAAAAAATCGGATTTGGGTCACTTCAGGCTGCAGTCTGAACGCAGCCTATGTGTCACTACGGAAGCTGCAGGTAAACAAACTATTACTTTGCCGGTGAGACTGGTGCCAGGTGATATCAGTCCACCACTGCCGAGCTTTTTATCAGGAAGTACAACACACTGCTGCTGCTCAAACATAAATCCCTCAATGCAAGGTTGGTTTTACTTCTAAAATTATTCTATCAACACAGACATTCACATGGACAGTCTGGTGTAATAATAGATTTGTTTCGAGTGTTTTGTGGAGTGGGTAAGACTGTTTTTAGTGGCAGGATAAATATGACCATTGACATGCACTAGTCTAACACCAGCGACCTCTGCAAATACAAGGACTGGATGGAATATTTTTAAAAGTGTCTCCAATACCAATATCGACGTACAAAATAGATTTTTTCGAATCTAAATTAGATATAATTTTCTACCTACAAGGAAAATGTTAAAAATTTGGAATATGATAGACACTGAATGCCGTTTTTGCTGTTTGGAAGTGGAGTCAGCCGAACATTTGTTTTGATGCTGCCATACTGTATCTTCAATTTGGAGTGAGGTAGAGAAGATGTGTTTGGAGCTCGGTTTGGTTTTTAAGTTGGATTTAGCCTCTACCTCACAGGGACACTTTAAAAATAGAAGTGATCTTGTCAATTTAATTAAAACGTTTTATTTTCAAAGCAAAAAAATTGATTCTCACTTAATATTAACTATTAAAAAATATATATATTTACCAATATTTAACCTGGGAAGGGTATACAAATTAAAACGGACAAAGAAAAAAAAATTGGAAATGAGGCCCTATGTCCAAAAATATAAAACTGTACCTTTAATGTTTGTCTTTTATCTTGTATGATGTTTGGTTCCTATATTTTGTCATGTATGTAGTTTGCAAATTAAATTATTAAAAAAAAAAATTTATACAATAAAAAAAAATAATAATAAATAAAAAATCAAATAAAAAAATATAAAATAAATAAATAAAAAATTAATAAATAAATAAAAAATCTGTCATTGTCTTATTTGCTATTAATGACACATTTCCAATTCTAAAAATCCTCAGTGAACTATAAAAATAAGTAAAAAATGAACAGGGCAGGGATTTGCACGATGAGTTTATTGCACTTTAAAATGTACTTTTACATACAAGTTACTCCCCATCAAAACACAAAAAAATATGATATAAAAGGAATTTCAAGCTTTACAAAATGACCTTCTTTGTGCATACGTTACCATTAACCTAGTTTGAAGAATCGCCCTGATTTTGTGACCTGAAATAACTATAAAAATCATAGTATTTTTATAGTAAGAATAAAATGCTTTAATGTTATAGAGCACGTTTTCGATACACAACATTCTTACATTTGCAGTAACATTTTTGGCACTCGTTTTTGAAATCTAAGCTCTTATGGTCCATTATAAACTATTTAAATTAATAAATCATGCTTCAATGTCTTCGCTTATGAATTAAAATATTAAAGAACGTTTAATTAAAGGCAGATCGCTTTAATTTTTTATGTTGTGCTGATGAAAATTACGTTAAATTAATTTAAAGTAACAGCTCCAGAGCGAAGAAACAAAACTGGCAAAGATTGTTGGTACACACAGGCATCAGGTGAGGATCAATACAAAAAAAGTAAACACAAAAAAATAAAAAAATAAGTAGAAGTTTTGTTCCCTTCCCACGTGTTCGTCCACTATGGAGTTTTTTGATTTCTGTGCGTATTTCAGGACTGATCACTGGTCGTTTTTATAAGTTAAAATGATTTGCAAAAGCATTTACAAGCAGCAAAGCAGAGGCATACATGTAAAACTTAATATAAATAATAATGATGATAATTTAGGCAAGAAATGGGGACTTAAATCGATTTAAAGTCAAATAAGTAACAGCTCTAGAGGCAAAATTGTATCAAAAATGATGGTAGGGCTCAACAAATTTGGAACAATCTTTTGAATCTTCACATTTATGTTGTTTTTAAATATTATTACTACATTTGCAATTTATATTTTAGCAGATTCTGTATGAAAAGTTGACATTTTAAGTAGGAAGATTATAATTTGAGAGAAAGCTGGACTAGAAACAGCTAAATTACAGGGTTATGAGGTTTCTTAGATATAAAAAAAAAAAGTATTCTGTAATATTATAAATTTGTTACTAAAATTGCAGTATTCACAATTTTCTGATTACAATTTTGGTTCAAGCGCTATTAACGTCGCAGCCCTGGAGTTGATGTTACGTGAGGACAGATACAAGATACAGGATACAGAGAAAAAAATAAGAAATATATCGTTTTAGCTCCCTCCCCCGCGTCCGTCCCCTACGGTCTTTTTGATTGCGGTGTGTATTTGAAGCCTGATCACTGACCATCTCCCACTGAGGCCGAGTCTGCTCTTCACACCGGCTCCATGAGGAGTTCTTCCAGGTCCGAGCCCTCCACCTCACGGAACGCAGCGTGGGAGCCAATCACAAACAGCGTCGCTCCTGACAAGATACGCCACACAAGACACAGGAGAGGAGGGGAAAGCATTTAGAACAAGATGGCCTCTCGAAAAGATAAGCCTCATTTACAATTATATTTAAGGTGTTTTGCTCTCGAGACACTTTTACTGTATCATTTAACACAGTAAGCAGCTCGACTTGTGCTGCTGGATGTCTCGGACTTGCCATAACCACAAGGAGAGATGAGTAGGGCTGAGAAACCGAGATCCAAAAAGTTTTAAGTCATCAATTATCAACTTGGGTCTTTTAAAATGACAGGTTTACAGCCGAGCCTCTCAGTAAAAGAATGTGGAGTTCAGATTTTGAAAGAAATTTTACGTTTTTATTGTTTTAAATGGCACCGATTAAATGATACTGAAGTTAAGACTGTTTTCTATTTGCAAACATAAAAATTCAAAGAAGAAATATAATGCAATATAATGTAATATAATAATACAAACAGACCGTATTTTTTGGACTATAAGTTGCGCTTTTTTCATGGTTTCAGGGTGTTTCCTGTGACTTATACTCCGGTGCGACTTATATATTAAAATTTTCCGACTGACAGCCGCGAGAGGCTCTAGTCTTGTGTGTCAGTATCTAGTACTACTATACCTCCTGTACCACTGTCACTTTGCATTCTATTGCACATGTCTCCTGTAGAAAAAGCTGCTGTTCTGCTGCAAATAGTGAAATATTCAGATGAAAACGGTAACCAAGCAGCAGAGAGAAAGTTTGGAGTGAGCGAGAAACTTGTGATTGACGGAAAGTGGGGATGGAGAACACAGCTTCACGGTAACTGGGAGGGTCCGCCATGCAACTTTCCTGGAAGTCACTGGATGAATCAACAAAGCCTGAACTTCAGTGACACCGAAACCATCCTGTCGGGATTCAGAAAGGCCGGAATAATTCTAACTGGAGCTGATGCTGAGTCTGACGACAGCTACACAGAAGAGGAAGCGGCGCTCTGTTTACATCATGGATCTATGGTTTATTTCCAGAGGTCACACAGAAGTGACACCGAGAATGAAGAATTCAATGGATTTAGTGATTTGGAGTGAGATTGTGAGTTTGGTAATCTTATGTTCTGTTGTTTATGCTATAATGATCTGAATAACTGTTCATATGTGACATTAACGTAACGTCTATTCAGCCTGTTGTTTCAAGATGAAATGTCGGTTCCTGTTCTCTGATTTTACAAAATACATTTCCCCAAAAAGTGCCATTCCTAGTCCGGTGAGACTTATACATGTTTTTTCCTTCTTCATTGTGTATTTTTTGCCTGGTGCGACTTATAGTCCAGAAAATACGGTAATTTATTTCTGTTTGTTTGTATTGTGATTTTAATGTCTTTCTTATTCTGTAAAACACTTTGAATTGCTTTGTTTGTTGCATGACTAGAGCTCAGTATCATTCAGAAGTTGCCAATACAAAACATATCTTGATACACTGAACTTACAATTCAATATGATTCAATACGCTATACTTCTAATCTATTTTATATGGTTCAATAAAAAATAAAGGCTAAATCATGGCTGTGATACTAAATGTCTTTTTTAAGCCACTTCTTTTGCAAAGTTCATATGAAACACAAACATTTTCATGTTCAACATCAAAAAAGTGAAAATGTCAAATGTGTCGCATAAACAAGTTTAATTCCTCTGAAAACGCAACAAAACTGTAGTGCTGTAACAAAATAATTGAGTAAAATATACAAAAAAATACTCTTGGCGATATATCGATACAGCAGCCCATGATATTGATACTGTATCATTACATCTCAGCGAATTTGGAGTCAGACTCTGTTATGAATAGGATTTTTTGACGGACAAAATAGAAAATAATAATAATCTGGATCACGTGGAGCGGGTTAATATAAACATTTTAAGACCATAATGATGAGGCTCGCTGCAGCAGTTACACAGAGAGGGACGACAAGCTCATAATGTAAGTCAACTGGAGCCAGAGTCAGAAGGACGGAAGGAAGGGCCTCTTGGCGAACTTCCTATTTGGCACACGGCGGCTAGTGCGTTAACTATGTCCACTCACATATACAGTCTATGCATTAAACAATAAAATATATCAGTATTTCAATATTTTTGCACACCCCTATGTATGCCGTAAAGATACAAATAAACTCCCTCTTCACTATTATAAGTTCTGAAGCTTTCCTCATATTTAAAACTAATTCCAGATTTACTTGACCTAATATTTTAATTTAGAAACTTAGAAATAGTTGCATTATTACCTTCAAGATGACACACCGCCGTTCTTAATATAAACATTAAGAAGTACACAGACTTACCGAGAATCCAGAAAACAGCAGCTCCAGCACCTGCCAACCAGAAAACAGGGAGAGAGACGGCACCTGCCAGACTCATCTGATGGGGCGTGGTCAGCTCTTTGCCTAAAAATGGAAACAATATGATGATTATTTCTAACTTTGTATGGAAATAAAACATATATGAATAAAGAAAGAAATTATAATAGCTAAAAACATAACCACATGTATTGGTTTAATTTTAATTTAAAGGACGTTTCGTTGCTTACCCATAATGACTAGTTTCTTCTCCAGAGATTTGACGTGAATTACGTAAAAGGCTCCAGCAAACACGGCCAAAGCGATCAGCAGCATGGGAGAGCTAATACTGTAAACACGTCAAAGTAGAGTCGAGTTATTATTAAAATGATGTACATTTCTTTCAGTCACAGTGCAAATAAAACATCTTAACGTGGTGGGAACTGGGGCTGGGTATCATTAAGGAGTTGCCGATACGATACATACCTCGATACACAGGCCACGATACGATACATACCTCGATACAGTGCACTTTCGTTTAGATATATTTCAAATCGATTCGATACGGTTCAATAAAAAATAAAGGCTAAGTCGTGGCTGTGATACTAAAAGTCTTTGTTAAATCACTTCTTGTGCAAAGTTCATATGAAACACAAACATTTTATTCATCAAAACAGTGAAAATGTCAAATGTGTCGCATCAATGAGTTTCCTTTCACTCCACAAGCAACAAAACTGTAGCGCTGTAACAAAATAATTTAGTAAAACACACCTAAAAATGCTCTTGGTGAAATATCGATACAGTAGCCCACGATATCGATACTGTATCATCACATTAAACGATACAATATATCGATATTCCGATATTTTTGCACACCCCCTAGTGGGAACAACTCTGAATTTCAAAGAAGCACCTGGATTAACCCCTTGGCATTGGTTATTCTTTGTCTCATATTTATGTTCAGTTGTGGATGTTGTTTGGGCTTAGTGTCTGTTTTTCATGCGCTTTGAAAACTTAATTCAGATTAATAGTTGTCTTATTGTAATGTAAGCGCCTTCATTGTCTGAGGAAATTGTCCTTTTACCATGTAGACCGAACCATGATGACACTGTTCTTAAAACGCGGAATCGGTTTTAACTTTTTCAATGGTCTCATGGTTTGGGAGCGTCTCTGCTAAAAACAAGAACTCCCTGAATCAGTCGGTTAAATGCTCGAGTACCTCAGAGCCCCCTGCACTACCTGCACTCAAGACAGTTACAGAGGATGTCCCAGAGTATTTTAAAAGACGTGCAACATCCACTAAACTCAGAGTTTCAGCTGCTTCCTTCTGGTCAGAGGCTTTTAGTCCCAAAATCTAGAACAAATCGTTTTAAAAGAAGCTTCATTCCAGCTGCTATCATACTTAAACTGTAATCTATTTATCTATCAATTTTAGTACGTTTGTCTTGGAGAAATTGTGGGTTTTTCATATATTTAATATTTATTGTGATTTTAGTCAAGCGTGATGAATGAATTTAACTAATTGTTGAAGCAACGAACCATTCTGCACTGGAGCACTTTAACACTATTTTGTAACTGTGTTTTATATGTATTTATTGATAATGATGTGGATGAATGAAATGTGAAATGTGGGACCTGCCTCTCAAATCTGCAAAACAAATTTACGTAAGGGTACAAATAAAGCAACCTAACCTAACCTATAAACATAAGGAGCTACAGCAGGGGTGTCAAACTCATTTTGGTCCGGGGGCCATATCCAACCTACTTTGATCCCAAAGGGGCCGGATCAGAAAACTCATGACATATAAACCCCAAAAATAACAATAAGTTCAAATATTTGTGCAGAGAAACACAAATCTATTACAGACATCTTTTTTAATTGATGAACTCTTTCTTTTACAAAATATTATAATATTATGAACAACCTGAAACTTTAAGGAAAATCCAATTTCAACACAATGTTTTAACTTTAACGTGTATGCAAATAGGAATAAGTACATTTTTCTTGGAAAATCCTGCACTCGGCTCCACTTTTCTCATTTTGGACATTTTGCTGATGACGGTGTCACGGTCAACAGTCAAAACGATCGTCCTTTAAAGCATTTGGAAAGAGACAAGTCTTCATTTGTGCTGCTGTGGTGGGAGGGGCCACGTACAGAGACGCTGGAGACACTGATATGCTAAGCGATGCAGAAAATTACCAATATTTTAATAGAAAATATAATTAAAATATTTTTGTAGAAAATCAGCGAAGGGCTAGATTAAAGGTCTTGGAGGGCCGGATCTGGTCCCCGGGCCGTATGTTTGACACCTGTGAGCTACAGGTTGCATTAATTAATCATGTAATTCTTATTTTACCCAAATCCCAGTGCTAGTTTGTGGTTTCTGTGGTCTAATATTCCCACAGTTCATGACATTATGTGTATACATTTATGAATCTACTTGAGGACTCACAAAATTAGATGATAAACTTTTTAATAAGGCCTAAAAATGGTATGGAAGTGCCTGTTTTGAATTTATAACAAAGAAATACTCTTGCATTTGTTTGTTAATTCTACATTTATATCGACCTTTTTGAGTCTGAATCACCCAGGGGTTTATATGTTTGCCTCATTGTGTTCATTGTGAGCGCCTTACATGCAGTACAAAATAAGTCCCAGGAAGATGAAGGTGTAGTTGCTGTTGTAGATCTCCACATTTTTCACCACCCTTTTACACAGCTCTCCGAAGTTTCGAGGTTTGGAAAATTTCCGCTGGTCGACGAAACTGGCCCAGGGTCGGATGGACACTCGGCGTTTGTCCAGCCACTCTTTGGCCATTCCAGCGGAGAAACCTTTGGGCATCCACAGCCTGGAGACAAAAAGACAACAAATCACACACTTGAAAAGGAAGTAATTACGCACATAGTTCACACTTTACTGTAGCTGTAGTTGACTAATATTTTATTTGCACAGGGTAAGTCTTTAGTTGACTGTTGCCATGTACAAGATAAACACAAATCAAATTTGAAAATTATATGAAGACTATGATAAATAAGTACAATTTCAGGAGCTACTCTCTCTTCAGTACTTTCAGATGTTTAACAATAGATAGTTGGCAAAATACTGGTACATTTTTATTATGACATATAACTAGGGATGTAACAATAACCAAAATATCGTGATATCGTATCGTCAAAAGTCTCACAATAATATTGTGGGCTGTCACAATATATCGAATCATAAGATCCTTTGCTTAAATGCATGGTTTTATAGTAGCAACAGCTTATAAACATTAGTTAGTTAGTTTATTATTTTATTTATCTAGGAGCTACACAAAGAGGTCATATGTTTGTGCCAAGTTACAGCAAAATTGCTCATTTCCACCTTCAGTCCCTGGGCAGGTTGGTGTCATAAATGGTGTAAATGCCAATAAAATAAAATACAGTGTTTACTGATGCAATCATCCAGTCAAGCAAAAAGTAAAACTATAGTCCCATTCAGTCTCAGGCACCATATCCAAACACTATTTACATATTTTATAATTTGTACATGATATAATTTCACATGGGAGGCTGTTCCAGAGGTTTATCTCCCTGTAGGAGAAAGATGATTGACCAAATGAGGTTCTGTATCTCTGAACACGACACTCCTCTGGCTTTGGACCGTGTGGCTCTGCAGGTTTTCTCTGAAGTGAGCATGGATGATTTTAAATAATGTTGTTAACATCTGATTAAATGTAAGCAAGTTATCAAAATTTTGCTATTTATATTTGACAAGTATTGAAAAGTGGCGAGGATTTTTAGTGCTCATTTATACAATGTTTCTAACGGCTTTAGAGATGTGTGAAGAATCCCTCAGTCGTCCAGGTAGAATCCATGAGGAGAAGATTCAGTTTGTCGACTGGACAAAAGTTAGTTTGGTTGAAGACGTCTTTAGAGATATTTTAGACGCCTGAGACCAGCTTGTAATACAACACTGAAGATGCGAGACATAGCATTAAAATACGTAGGGACATACGGGAAAATAGGGACCTACATATCCCATGTTTCAGTGCAAAAAACATGAAAACAATGATATGTAACAATAAACAATATGATAATTCTTGGGATTATTTAAAATGTTTTGGGATTATGACGGAAATAACTCACACCAAAATCTTGTCAAGGTATTTTAAAATCAAAAAAGTGTTCTATCTACAATTACATCAGCCTCTCCAAAATATCCCAATAAATATCGTATCATGAGATGCATTTTGTGATAATATCGTACAGAGAGATTTGATTTAGATATCATGACATCCCTACATGTAACACATTCATTTCCATTTACCACTTCTACCGACTGAATTTTCAACTAACAATTGACCCACTTTTTGTAAAACTATCTTATATTATCTAAAAACATTGAGTTTATCTATCTAGAAATGTAGATAACTGTGCAGTGTAGATAGAAAATGACTCATATATACAAATGCAATGATGTTATCTGTACTCTTCTCTTTTTAATTTAAATGTTAATGATTATTTATGATTTTATTTGTTTGTAGGTGTGTAACGATTTCCAAGTCTCTCGATATGATATCATCACGGTATGAACCTCACGGTACGATATTTATTGCGATATCGTGGGAAAGCTCATGATATGATGGGGAGACTCACGATTAGGGATGTAACAATATCCAAATATTTCTGTACGATATCTTCACGATATACATCTCATGATACGATATATATTGCGATATTTTGTGGAGGCTTACAAACAAAACTGTTAACATGCCTTGACAAGACTTAATCCAAAGAACTAAGACTTAAAAGTGCTTAGAACTGTTATTTCTTCTTGTAATCTGCACTGAAATGGAGCAAAGGATCATGGTCTATGTAGTTCCCTCTGTCTTTTTTATCTATTGCTGCACCATAACTCTTAATTTAAGCAAAGAGACTTGTAATTCGATATATTGTGATGGTCCATGATATTATTGTGAGAAATTTGACGATACGATATCACGATATTTCGGTTATTGTTACACCCCTATTTATTTGCATTGTGATTTTCATTCAATTCTGTTTTGCAAAGCACTTTCACTTACTTTTTGTATGAATCGTGCTCTACAAATAAACTCACCTTCCCTATTAGAGAGCCAATAAATTTTCTGTAAATAATAATTAATTACGATAAATATTTGAATTGTAATATTGTACAGGCAAATGTCTTCTAATCATTGTATAAATTATAAAAACATGTGTCAACATTCATTAATTAATCAAAAGTATCAAAAGCATTTATGTGTCTAATGGATCCAAAATGATACGTGTAACTATAAAAGAACACGAGTAATAATGACGAATGAATAATGAAATGTAATCCCTGCGAATATTTGCTTTTGTTGTGAGAGTACACGATGTGCTTGTAACAGTGTGTGCCAATTGTTTTGTTAAACTCACTTGGACATGATCCCAGCTCCACCTGTGCCTGTGGGAAACGCATCCTCGGCACTGAACAGGTCTCCTCCTTTACTGTCCATGTCCACCTCACAGTTCTCCCCTTTTGGAGCTCCCGAGGACATTTAAACTCACTCTGCGGCAAAACACAGACGGAAATAATAAACAAACGCACGATTACACATGTTAAAACAGATTGGCATGTTCGTCCAGACTTTGCCAAACTGTGTTCAGACGTAGTTGCAAATATTAAACCGGAACTAAACCTGGACTGCAACTACAATAGGAGTACAACAGAACCAAAACCAAGTCTACTTCAAGACGATAGGTACGATCACACAGACTACATGGAATTGTGAGTAAACTGCAATAGATTCTGGACTAAACTACAACTAGAACAGGGCCAAACCTGGGCTCAAACCAGGACCAACAAGGATAAGATCAAACCAGAACCAAACCAGGGCTAGTGAGGACAAACGTTTAATGTTATAATTACATTTAAAATATGACTTGATGGGAAAGGGATTAATTTAATTTAATCTAAGTGTGGCAACAGACTAGGGAATGGACAAGATCTCGTGAGACAAGATAGACCACGAGATTGCGCACACATTATCTCGTGACATTTATCCCCATGTTTTTACACTTAGACTGGATAAAAAATAGAGTTGATTCCTTGCAAGTTACAATTTTTGAGAAGCTGTAGTCCCAAAAAGCAACTCTTACAATGACAGCAGAAATATTAAGTAAATCAAAAATTATGAGCCCAAAATTAGGCACTGGACTGTACAATTAATTCATTATAAACAATGTCTTAATCTCATCTTTTCTCGTTCTCGTTAATCCAATGTCGTGTCTCGTTTCGTCTTCTGGAAATTGTGCCTCGACCTTTTTTTTTTGTTCTAGAGATTGTGGTTAATTTTTTCCGACTTGATAAGCATTTTATTCAACTGTGGTTGTTTTAAAAGTGTAGAAATAAGGTTTAATTTGACCTGAAATGAACCACTTACATAAAACAATATTTTTACTAGGGCTGGTTATCATTCAGAGGTTGCCGATACGATACATACCTCGATTCAGTGAGCTAATGATTCGATACGATTCAGTACGGTATATTTCAAAAAATAAAGGCTGTGATACCAAAAGTCTTTGTTAAACAAGAGAATATGAAACACAAACATTTTAATCATCAAAACAGTGAAAGTATCTAAACAAACAACAAAACTGTAGCACTGTAACAAAATAATTTAGTGTATCTTCACATTAAATGATATGATATTAAGATCTTTACATATTTTTGCACACCCCTAATCTCATCCAACCCCTACAACAGACCTTATGTTGATTTTTTTTTTTTTTTTTTTATTCTAGTGATTGTAGTTCGTTTTTTCTGGCTTGATGAGCATTTTATTCCACTGTGGTTGTTTTAAAAGTGTAGAAATAAGGTTTAATTCCACGTTTTGGGCTCAACAATTCAACGCGATACATTTCAAATCGATTTGATAAGGTTCAATAAAAAAATAAAGGCTAAATCATGGCTGTGATCTGTTCTTTTGTTCTGTGTTTTGTCTTTGTTGAACCACTTCTTGTGCAAAGTTCATATGAAACACACCCACACTTACATAAAACCCACTTACATAAAGAAATATATTTATACCGATGCTATTTTGTGCTCTGTAAAATCTATGTGGCAATTTGAGGTTAACCACAAACCAAAAAGAATGACAAAACTGTTACATAAGACAAAACCCTGTGACAGAAACTTAATTGTGATGGAAAATTTTAGTTATGGAAATTGTGTGTCACTAGAAAAGAGCCTGGGCGCTACACGTCGACACCGAAACTACAGACTTATCATACTATCAATTTATCTACATGTCATTTGTTTAAAGATTTCAGTGTATGATTAAACAAAATAAAAAATAAAAAAAAATTTAAAAAAAGAAAGAAAAGAGAGAAAGACACGTCCACGTATTATAACTAAACTTAGCGATCTTAGCTGCAACGCCAAGATCTCAAAGCACTACGAAGAATACACGTTTGGTAAACTTATCAGGTTATAAAATGTTTGTTTAAATAAATAATATGTGGATTAAATAAAGGTTTTTTTTTTTTTTTTTTTTTTAACTTACTTGCTGAGGATCGCCTCTTCACTGTTGTGGTTGTTCTTTGCTGGAGCGGAAGTGATGTGGACGAGCCGGACCCGGACTTCCGGTTATTTTAGGTAAACAACGCCACCTGTCTCCGCTATAAACGCATGGATTTATTAAAATAACTATATTAATGCACGAATTAGTTAAAATAACTTTATAAACGGGATGAATGTATTAAAATAACTATATAAACGGCATAAATGTATTAAAATAACTATATAAACTGCATGAATTTATAAAACTAACTATACTAACTGCATGAATTCATTAAAATAACCATATAAACTGCATGAATTCATTAAAATAACCATATAAACTGCATGAATTTATTAAAATAACCATATAAACTGCATGAATTTATTAAAGTAACTATCTAAACTGCATGAATTCACTAAAATAACTATAGAAACTGCATGAATTTATTAAAATAACCATATAAACTGCATGGATTTATTAAAGTAACCATATAAACTGAATTAATTTATTAAAATAACCATATAAACTGCACGAATTTATTAAAATAACTGTATAAACTGCATGAATGTATTAAAATAACTATATAAACTGCATGAATTTATAAAACTAACTATATTAACTGCATGAATTCATTAAAATAACTGTATTAACGCCTCAAATTTATTAAAATAACTATCTAAACTGCATGAATTCACTAAAATAACTATAGAAACTGCATGAATTTATTAAAATAACCATATAAACTGCATGAATTTATTAAAATAACTATACTAACTGCATGAATTCATTAAAATAACTGCATTAACACCTTAAATTTATTTAAATAACCATATAAACTGCCTGAATTTATTAAAGTAACTATCTAAACCGCATGAATTCACTAAAATAACTATAGAAACTGCATTAATTTATTAAAATAACGATATAAACTGCATTAATTTATTAAAATAACTACATTTATGATATTTCTTTGCCATAATTTAGGAAAAATGGTCAACAAATAAAATATAAGCGCTGATTATATGAAAGCTAAGTTTAGTACAATTAGGTCGTCATGTTAAAATTTTCATGATTTTGTGGTATTTCTGTGTCAAAGTTCATGAACAAATGCTATGTTACATGTATGTATGTATACAAGAAAATTACTATAGGGAAGCTGTTCAGTATATTTGGTCATTGTCTACTCCATAGACTGTATATGTTTTTGTTGTTGTTTTAATATAAAGTCTATGGTCACAGATAGGATGACCAAATGTTCCTATTTACCCGGGATAGTCCCAGTCTTGAGCCCTGTGTCCCCTGTCCCAGCAGATTTATCCAAAACCATTAATTAGTCCCAGTTATATACAAGAAATATCCCTGGTGTCCCTGTTTTTGACCAATCTGATCCCTACCAACAGTAAAGAGAGGCATGAATTGTAATCTGTTTAGATAAAATACAGAAAAGCTTCTTAAAAATCACCAAAACAAGAAAAAAAGAAAATGTGACTACACTGACTCATATGTTAGTCATGAATGGGCCAAGTGCAAAACAATTTTCCTTAATTTCTCGTTCCACTATTTTATTATTACCAACCACCAAAAAAAACAGGGGTGTCCCAGTTTTGTATTTTGAATTTCTGGTCACCTTACACATAGAGGCAGGTGAGAATGTGTAATGAATATCTTTAAAACATTATTATTAAGGTTGATTGTGAAACATTGCAGACAAAGCAATAATAAAGGCATCACCATGGAGAAAAGCATTTAATGAACACTCCACCGTACACAATGCACCTTGAACATACAGTACTTTAAGTTAATTATCCGTATTTATCCTCAATATGTAGGTAAAACTTGCAGCACTAGTTCTGGAGGACTGGTGAATCAAAATAAAACCAAAAATAAGAAAATGGAAAAACAGTTTTCTTCTTTATTTGTCTCCAAACAAAAATGAAAAAACAGATAATGATTCGTTTTTTCAATTTTCGATTTTGTGTTTAAATGAATATTGGAAAAAAAAAAGGATAATCCGTGACTTAAACTGTGATGCCGGACTGAACCAGGACTAAACCAGGACCGAGACCGGGACCAAACCAGGAACAGACCAGAAATGAGACCGGGACTGAGACCAGGACCAGACCACAGACCAGGACCAGGACTGAGACCAGGACCAGGACTGAGACCAGGACTGAGACCGTTACCAGACCAGGACCAGGACTGAGACTAGGACTGAGACCGGGACCAGACCAAGACCAGGACTGAGACCAGGACTGAGATCAGGACCAAGACCAGGACTGAGGCAGGACCAGACAGGGAAAAGACCGGGGCTGAAACCAGAAATGAGACCGGGACTGAGACCAGAAATGACACCGGGACTGAGACCAGGACCAAGACCGGGACCAGGACTGAGACGGGGAACAGACCGGACCAGAACTAAGACCAGGACTGAGACGGGGACCAAGACTAGGACCGAGACCAGAAATGAGACCGGGACTGAGACCGGGACTGAGACCGGGACCGAGACCGGGACCGAGACCAGGACCAAGACCAGTTTAGTCCAGGACTGAGACCAGGACCAGACCAAGACCAGGACTGAGACCAGGACTGAGATCAGGACCGAGACCAGGGCTGAGGCGGGACCAGGCCGGGAACAGACCGGGGCTGAAACCAGAAATGAGACCGGGACCAGACCGGGACTGAGACCAGAAATGACACCGGGACTGAGACCAGGACCAAGACCAGGACCAGGACTGAGACAGGGAACAGACCAGACCAGAACCAAGACCAGGACTGAGACCAGAAATGAGACTGGGACTGACACCGGGACTGAAACCAGGACCAAGACCAGGACCAAGACCAGTTTAGTCCAGGACTGAGACTGGGATGGAGGCGGGACCAGACTGGGAACAGACCGGGACTGAAACCAGAAACACCGGGACTGAGATGGGACCAAGACCAGAACCAGGACTGAGACTAGGACTGAGACCAGGACTGAGGCGGGACCAGACCGGGACCAGACCGGGACTGAGACCAGAAATGAGACCAGGACCAGACTGGGACCAGACCGGGGCTGAGACCAGAAATGAGACCGGGACCAGACCGGGACTGAGACCAGGACTGAGACCAGGATTGAGACCGGGACCGAGACCGGGATTGAGACGGGGACCAAGACCAGGTCCAAGACCAGAAATGAGACCGGGACCAGACCGGGACTGAGACCAGGACTGAGACCGGGACTGAGACCGGGACTGAGACCGGGACTGAGACCGGGACCGAGACCGGGATTGAGACGGGGACCAAGACCAGAAATGAGATCGGGACCAAGACCAGGACCAGGACTGAGACCAGGACTGAAACGGGGACCAGACCAAGACCAGGACCGAGACCAGGACTGAGACCAGGACTAAGAAGGAGACCAAGACCAGGACCGAGACTAGTTTAGTCCTGGTTTAGTCCTGTTTTAGTCCTGTTTCAATCCTGGTTCAGTCCTAGTTCAGTCCGGCATCTCAGTTTAAGTCACATAAATGGGAAATGGCCATTATCCATTTTTTCCATGTTTTTTTCCATTTTTCATTTAAACACAAAATCGAAAACTGAAAGAAAACAACAACAACAAAAACAAACAAACAAAAACAATACAAAAAAAAAAACAAAAAACGAATAATTATTTATTTTATTTTGTTTTGTTTATTTATTTATTTTCATTTTTGTTTTGGAGACAAATAATGAATATATATATATATATATATATATATATATATATATATATATTATATATATAAATGTGTTTCTCACCTTCCACGGTGGTTGGTCTCTCACCCTCATTCAGCTCGGGTCGTCTACCAGAGGCCTGGGAGCTTGAGAGTTCTGCGCAGTATCTTTGCTGTTCCCAGTACTGCACTTTTCTGGACTGAGATGTCCATTGTTTTTCCCGGTATCTGTTGAAGCCACTCTTCCAGTTTGGGGGTTACAGCCCCGAGTGCTCCGAACACCACAGGCACCACTGATGCCTTTACTTTCCAGGCTCTCTCCAGCTCTTCCTTGAGCCCCTGGTATTTCTCTAGCTTCTCGTGTTCCTTTTTCCTGATATTACCATCGCTTGGTATTGCGATGTCAACCACCACGGCTCTGCTCTGTTTCTTATCCACCACCACTATGTCTGGTTGGTTATGTCGCTCCATGTATGCTTTCCCTGCCAGCATCTTACACCCTGCAGTTATGTGCAGGGTGTGTATATATATATATATATATATATATATATATATATATATATATATATATATATATATATATATATATATATATATTATATTATATTTTATTATATATATTTATTTATTTTTTTTCATTTTCTTATTTTTAGTTTTATATTGAAAAACGAATGAACGAGTGACACAGATTCTTGTGCGTGTGTCTTGTCCGTGCTGGTTGCGGGGGGATGTCGCTTGCGTTTTGTAAACACCCACCTCGCGCTCTGATTGGTGCGAATATCTGCTGTCACCGCAGTCTTTTCGTATTTGCTAGAACATCTACTCAGGAAACAAAGGTCGGTGCATAAATCCGCTTTAAATCTTTCACATAGCGTTTATTGTAATAATTTTAAGGTCGTAGATTTACCGCAAACGCTACGATTTTTTGCGTAAAGTGCCATGACATGATTTACGACGGTTTAGGACATTGTTGCTTTTGCGACCGTTACTTTACCATCAAATATCGCTTGGTAATCCTAAACAAACCATTATTACGTGTGTTTATTCGTGCAGATTGCGTATATGTGTCGATTTGGTGTTGTTATATGGTGCAAAAGCTTGTCATAATCGTATGTCTCTTGTGTGTTTTTTTTTTTGTCCTCAGAGAAGGAAACGTGACTGGTTACGTAACTCCGCACGGGCCTCGGGGTAATTCGCATCAGCCTGTTTTACTGCACCGCCAATAGGAGGAACAAAGAAACATATGGTTATAATTTTTTAACAAACAGCTGCCTTTAAAGATACTGTAGGACCGTGGGCAGGACGTTTTTACGCGCTGACACGAGACAAGGAAGACGTCGAGGGGAAAAGAGGTGAGCCAAGTCTGCGTTAGCTCCATGCGAATAGCACAGGGAACGATTTAGCTCAACATAAACAACAGATTACGCTTAGCAACAACACTTTCTAGTCTTTTCTACAAATACAGAGGCTATTTGACACCTTCTGATGACCTATGCAAGCTAAAACAGGCAGACAGCTGTTTACAGAAATGCGCAAAATATCTTCATAATTTGAGGTTATTTCTGGACAACTTGGTTGTTTTTGTTGCTTCCATATGTTTTTTTTTCTGTGCCATTTCTGAAAAGTAGATGCTTTACCTTTTATATGTTTAATTATAATATAAGGAATCATAAAAACAGATTTGCTTTCTGATTGTTTTTAGACTTTGAAGGACAATTATTGCATGGAGAGCCACCATAGTTTCCTCTATTCATGGGGAAAGACTGACATTCTTCTTTACTAGCTATATATCAAATTTCAATGTCCCGATTATTCACAGTTAGTGTTATGGTTATTGATTTCACAGTTTTAGTTATGCTCATAGTCAATATTCATTAATAATTCCCAGTATTTAATATATAACCAGCCATTTTTGCTTCTATTTTTAGTTCTTTCAATTATCTGGTGTACTGATCAATCATGATTATTGATTAACTTTGATAATGTTGATATCCATACTGTGTTGTCAGTGTAATAAACAAAACAACTCGCCTGATGCAATTTTCTATGGATGTTTTTAACTTGTTATATTTCATTTCAGTTTATTTTAAACAGGTCAGGACAAGAGGAAAAACATATTGCACATTATCTTATATTTGCATAAAATTTGGTTATCTTTTTTGCAGATTTAGGAGGTTGGGAAGAAGTTTATCCCTGATCATGGCCGTAGCACATCAGTTGCGTTATCCGTTCAGGGGTCTTCACTGCTGGGATGAAAACGAGTGCCTCGATTACTACGGCCTGCTGTCGCTTCATGAGGTTTTTGAAATAGTTGGTTCTCAGTTGACTGAGACTGACATAGAGGTACTTTCATTTTTTTTAAATGAAACGTATACGGTGCAACACCCACTTGATCCAGCAGGGTGGACAGTGGAGCCGAGCGAGGACGATCCGGATGACGCAGGAGTGCAGCCCAGTCCTCAGCTTTTAAACCTGTGGCGACGACTTAACACTAGCTCGTCCCCACAGCCGTTGTTTGCCTCTCATAAGCCCAAAAGTGGCCTTGAATTGTTGTTGGAGCTGGAGAATAGAGGGTACATCAGTGAGGGAAACCTGGAACCACTGCTACAGCTGCTCCGAGTCCTGACCCGCCATGACCTGCTCCCCTTTGTGTCTCACAAGAGAAGGAGGACAGGTGAGACGTGTAAATGTGTATTCTGCTAATTTTACTTTTTTAACCTTTTTTTTGCAGGATGTAATGCAGTTTTCTCACATACCTAGAATGTTGATTTGAGTAAGCCGAGTAAGCCAGCATATTTGGCTCCACGGCCCTCTCTGGAGTTTACAATGCTTAGATCCAATTTCTGAATCAATACATTCTAGTGCTGTCACAGTACTAAAAATTCTATACTAAGGACAAAGTCTGACACTCTGACACTGATATAGATCTTGATACCCTAATGATAATAAACAGACATTTTAGTACTATAAAATGAAGTTTTAAATTGTGTTTTGATCTAGTTTTGATAAACACCAGACTAAAACATTCCTGGATAGGTTCAGTTTAGATTAGAAATACTTCTATGTTTTTGGTATTTTTACCATAGATAGTAGTTGTAATATCAGTTCATATCAGATTTTAACTTTTTTTTTTATTATTTAAACAATCCTAATATGTAGGACTCTTATCTAGGAAGTGCCCTCCTTGTTTTCAAAGTCCATGCAATTTCACCAAACTACTTCGTTCTGACTAATTGTTCACTCAAATGACCTACATCAAGATGCAAATTTAGCTTCAGCAGCTTCTGTTTTTATTCTTATCTGAACTGTTCCAGTAGAAGTCTAAAGTGTCCTAACAAAGGACAAAGGACTTTTTAAAAAGAGGATATTTAGAGTATGTTGTGTCTGTGTGTTAAGTTTCCCCAGAGAGATTCCGACACTGGCATGGAGCAGATCATAAAGAGCTGATGTTTTCCTCAGGACTGCCCCAAACCTGCAGAGCAACTGAAATGCCTCTTTCTTCTTTCACTCAACAGGGGAGATCAGGTAACCGGATTAAACTGTACACATTTTGTTTAGCCAAATACTTCTGTGAAAGGTCCTGTACCTGACTTTTTAAAGAAATACTTTGACGGGTGACAGTATTTTTTTACAATCTGGCACAATGTTGGATGAGAACTATGTGAAAATTACTATCTGATCATTTTAGGCAGTTGTTTTTCTGTCGTGGTTAAACATTGGAGTGAAAGAAGTGATTACGCGGGTGGAGTTTGATGAAAATGATGTAGAAACAACTTCCCATAACCAGTTTCTCAGACAGTTTTCTGTCATGGTTCATCATCAGAGCTAAACAAGAGGCGGGTTTAGCAGATCTTCTCTCATGAGTCAAAATGGTTTGTGATTATTATGACTTTAACTCTGTCCGTAGTTTTCTAGTTTCTAAACGTCATCACTTTTTTATGATTTAGTCGACCTTTATACTCTGAAAATCATGTTCAAAGTAAACAATAATCTTTACAGAACATGTTCAAAATCTGAAAGAGCCAATTTGAGCTCAGAGGCACGGCCATGGTTATCAAAAAGAAAAGCAGAACAAACATTATGAAATTTTGTGTATCTGTTAAAGGGGTGGAGCTCTGGAACAACTGTACAGAAAACCTAAAATTGTGCACCAGTCTCTTTCACTTTATAAAGAAGTTTAAATGTTTAACTCTGGACAGATACATGAAATATGATAGTTTGTGCTGTAGGACGTTGTTGTTCTGTTTCTGATTTGTTTGTTTCCTCTTGCTGTATTTATGAAGATGAACTGGTGTTAAGATGAAGCTCTGATAAAGGAATAAAGGGTAAAGGCAGAATAAGCTTAAGCTTCAGCCTACACCTTTTCGGTCTGTGTATGTTAAATATGACTGTCTGTGAATTAATGTCAAAATGTACCTGTGACCAAAATAAATAAATAAATAATAATAATAAAAAGCTTTTTAATGACGAATCACCGCAGACCTTCCCTCTGGACCTGACTATCTAACACCAGTCGTTCATAATTAGTCACAGGGCCTCTGATCTTCATTCTCTCTGCGTCCATGTGCTCTGTTAGGTTTGTACTCTCCTGTCCCTGTTGCACCTGCCCAGAAGCGACGGAGGAAGGGGGAACGGCTGGTACCGAAAGCCCAAGAAAACTACCAAACCGAGCCAGCCTCCACCTCCTCCGGCCCCAAAGAGCCTCTCCTGTGGTAAGAACCAAACCTTCATTTATGTTTGTCTTTAAACACATTTCTTTTCTGCATGTCGTCATTTTACACACCTGATTACTACACTCTATTACTGCACTCTTTGTTTTATTTTCTCATATTTTTCCATCACATTTATCAAATAATCTGAGTATTTAAAATTGCTGTTGTGCTCTTGTGGCGCATACTTTGTCCATGTGCATGTTTACTGCATTCTTTAACTCCGTCATGTCATTACACAAGATATGTAAAACACAGTCTTCTACTCCAGACGTCCCTCGGGCGCCCTGTAAAAATGTGAAAAACATGTTGTTCTGGATGATGTAGGGCTGGGTACAAAAAAAAATAAAAATAAATAAAGATACTAGTACTTTTTTGTTTTTCCCGCATTAACAAAACAGACTCGTATTTAGAGCCCGACCAATACTATCAGTCGATATGGGCCGATATTTCACGTGCACATGTTATATGTCGTTATAAATCTTAGACTCTGGTCTATGAATTACCGCGCCGCGCAGCATTTATGGGTAAAGGCTAATAGCAGTAGTTTCTTTACTAGTGATGGGTCGGTCGCGAACGAAGCGGCTCTTAGATCCGGCTCTTTGAATCGAACAATGGGAGCCTGCTTCTTACTGGGAGCCGTGTTTTCTCTTTCTCTCACTTTTTTTCTCTCCACGTCGTGTGCAGACTCGTGGTAGTTTGACAGCGGCAGTGGCTGAAAACGAAACTTTCAGAAGTCTGCGTGTGTATAGGATAGAAAAAACGTGCATGTTTGGGTGTAGTTCAGCATAAAATAAATAAACCAGGACTAATCTTGGGGTCGAGAGAGGGAGAGAGATAAAGACCAAGTCCCGACACTCAGTCTTGGTTCAGTTCTGGTTTAGCCCTGTTCTATACATGGTTTAGATCTGTTTTAGTCCTGGTTTAGTCCTTTTTCAGTAATGGTTCAGTTCTGGTTTAGTCCTGCTTGCACCAAACCAATACCCAGCACTGGCTGCTAGAAAGTGATGTAAAAATGCCATTAGGCCAATCTACTGTCTGTAAATATGATGCAAAGAGTCAGAATAAGAATAAATGTTGCCTAAATAAAGCCAAATTAAAATCCACTAGAGCCAAACCTAAGTTTTTTTAAACAATTCAAGATTTACTGTGAATTTTTACATCACTAAATATATCGGCAGCTCCAACTCCCATTTTATTGGTTTCATATCGGCCACAACAAAATCCATATCGGTCGGGCCCTAATCGTAATGTTAAAATTCACTATTTTTTTTTTTTTTCACAGTCTTAATAAGTTTAATAACAGGACTAACAGTTTGTAGCAGCCCAATATTATTACTATTACTTCCCTATCACATTTTTAGCAATTGTAACACTTTGATTAGACCCACATGGCTTATTTTGACCCTACGAGCTGCCTTAGCTTTCACATTTTATCTGTTATAAGTCAAATTATTTTTTTAAAACTTTTTTTGTAGGTAGGACACTCTTTTAAACGTACCCAGCCCTACCCAGGTTCACGTGACGCATTTCAAAATATGAGGCTGCCGTTAAAGGGTTTGTGAGATCTCGTGTTTGAAAACACTGCCACTAAACTCGAGCGCTTTACTCTTTGATTTTTACATCCAAAAATTCCAATGATCTCACTAACAGGATTTCAAACTCGCAATGAGTTTACATGACTTGGATTTCAGATGTAACTGTTGCTTAAAATGACTGGAGATTCTGTCGCCATATCTGTTTCTCATCCTTCTCATCTTCACCTCTTGAAGCCACTATTTTTAGCTGCTACGGATGTAACAATATCCAGATCACATTATTCAGCTGATATTTCTCTCTGTGACCTTGACGAACCTTCAGTGCTGCTGCTTATTCATGTTTCATATTAAAAGATTTGGATTTTAAAACTAAAAGCTGTTCCCTGTAATCCTTGTGTCATTCGTTCATTCGTTTTTGAAAATAAAACCAAAAATAAGAAAACAAAACAAACAAAAAGAAATCTTCTTTTATTTGTCTCCAAAACAAAAATGAAAAAACAGATAACGATTTGTTTTTTCAGTTTTCAATTTTGTGTTTAAATGAAAAATGGAAAAAACGGATAATGACCGTTTCCCGTTTCTGTGACTTAAACTGAGACGGGGACAGAGACCGGGAAAGAGACGGAGACGGAGACGGGGACCGAGACCAGAAATGAGACCGGGACCGAGAGGGACCGAGACAGAAAGGACCGGGACCGGGACGAGACAGAAATGAGACTGGGACGAGACAGAGACGGGGACCGAGACCAGAAATGAGACTGGGACCGAGACCAGAAAAGAGACGGGGACGGAGAGGGGGACGGAGACGGGGACCGAGACCAGAAATGAGACTGGGACCGAGACCAGAAATGAGACTGGGACCGAGACCAGAAATGAGACTGGGACGAGACTGGACTGGACTGAGACGGGGACTGAGACGGGGACTGAGACGGGGACTGAGACGGGGACTGAGACGGGGACTGAGACGGGGACTGAGACGGGTTCAGTCCTGGTTCAGTCCGGCATCTCAGTTTAAGTCATGTAAACGGGAAACGGTCATTATCCGTTTTTTCCATTATTCATTTAAACACAAAATTGAAAACTGAAAAAGCAAATCGTTATCTGTTTTTTTTTGTTTTGTTGTTGTTTTTTTCATTTTGGTTTTGGAGACAAATAATGAAGAAAATAGTTGGGGTTTTTTTTGGTTTTATATTGAAAAACGAATGAATGAATGTTACACGGATTCCCTGTGTTCCTTCTATGCACTTTTTTTGTCTTTTGCAGCACAATAAAGTAAAAATAAGTCCATAAATTTTATTTTATTGTAATATCAGGCTTTTTTTTGTTACATCCCTAACTGCTAGATACAGTAACTTAAAGCCTTGCTATGAGTAAAGTCAACTTTAAAGCTCAATATAACTGGATACAATGATAAGAAGGAGTTGCTTTGTACACTACTGCCCTCCTGTTTCTATACGTACTTTTGAAAAATACGAGCTAAATAAGTCCAGTCCAGTTTGTAAAGTCCTAACATCAGCTGCCCATTGTGTGAACTGCTTATCTTGCCATGTTATTACGACATAAGCTTGATTCTGGCTCCGTAAATGACCTAACAAAGGAGACAGCCGCTCTTAGCTCTTGAGATGAAATGTGCCTGTCCACGTGTTGCTGTCTTGACCCCACATCTGATCCCTTCAGGTTGACTCCACAGTGACTCACAGTGATCGAATATTCGGAGAACAGATCGAGACTGAGGAACAGTTCAAAACAGTCTCTGTGCGTACACTGGGTTTCACATGCTCGCTCACTGCTTTGGGCCGTGCCGAAGGTAAACCGGCTCTCCTCCTTGTTCAGCAGGGAGGGGCTGCCACTGTGCTCTCCTTACATTGATTATCACTTGTACATTAGCGCCCTGTTCCCTCTAAAGTCAGTTCAAGAATAATTTAGCACCACAAAAGCATGATTTTGTGTAAGCTTTGACTCAAATGTGATGTTTGGATACAATTAAAAGTGCACTGTTTAATTTCTCTGGTGCAGATGTTATCATTTTATGGGAATTTTCCACAGTATTGCTCTAAACTTCTCAATATTGCATTTATTAAGAATATTTGGGTGGGTTTTTAGCTAAAAAAATAACTAAAATCATGCATTCTTATTGTGAGGGGGGCTCGCCTTTCCACTGATCTGACCTGTATCTCAGCTCTGTGGCGTTACGTGCTTATCCCCATGGAGACGGTGTCATACTGTGGACTATTTCAAGGCAAAATAATAACATCTGTGGAGAAAAGAGCCTTGACAAGAGAAGTTACATAGTGCATCTTTTAAGCAAATCAAAACTAGTTTGAATCTTTCAGTAACCTGGAGTTTTTTTGTTTTGTTTTGTTTTTTTTAATTAGATTAGTCATTTTCAGATGGTCTCTATTGTGCAGTCTCCAGGTCTGTGTCTGTCAAAGTGGTCACACCCAAAGTGCAGTCACTGTAGTCCTTTTAAACCAGTCCTTGAGCTACAAGTGTCTCATGAAAAAGGCCATTCAGTGTAATGTTTGATAATGTTTAAAGGCTCATTTATGCTCCCATTTCGTACGTTAACAGATCCATCCTGGAATCCGTTTCCAGCTGCCAAGTCTGTTCTGTAAAACGACCACCAGTGGGCGTTCAAAGTCTGTTGAGGAGGTTACCAAAACAGAAGAAAGAAACAATAGTTCTAGTGAAAAAAGTTCTGCCTCTCTGGTTGAGCTGTGTTCACTACAGTCCCCAACGGTTAGCACATCAGCGAGGTCTGGGGAAAGGGACAAACTGACGGACAGAAGCCCCTCATGTATCCGTGTGCGTTTCGAACGTAGAGCATAAATGAGCTTAAGTAGAAATGTGTTCATGTTAAATAACAGTCAGAATGAGCTACTAAGTGCCAGAAGAATACCTGCTTCTGTTGCTAAACCTCATGTGTGTGTAAGCTCCACAACCACAGAAAGAGAATCATGATTCACTGTTGGACACTGCTCCTCACCTTTTAAACAGAGAAATGTATACAATTTCAAGTGTTAAAAATCCATTTCCAAATAGGAAAAGTACCAGAGCTAATAGAGTGTATAAGACAGAGCAAATAGAAATTGTAAAATCAAAGTTCATTAAAACTGAGGAGAGTTTGTGCTGTGCCTAATGGTGCTTTTCAGAGTTGACGTCACGATTTAGCATCAGCGCACTCCGAGCTCGGACAAACAAACCACTTTTGCCCATTCACTGTTATAATGTGTCTATGAGGAGCTGTTTCTATGCTTCAAACATCTTCACCAAACATCTTCTGAAATAAGAGGCACCTTGTGCACTCATGTTAAGATGAGCCTTACACTGATGCTTCATAACTCATGGCATGTTGAAGGTCTTTTTTAAACATAGTTTCTTGTTGTCTATGGTTGATCTCAATATGTTCTAGACGCAGAACAACAACCAATGACTTTTGTAGAGCTTCCTGAGGGCTAAGAGATTCTCTGTTTCTGTTATTTCCTGAATGAATGTTTGGAGAACAGAATGTTTTTCTCTGTTCCTCTTGAGTGCTTTGTTTGTCCGATGAGGACCAGGAAATGCTTTGAACCCGCGACGTCTCAACTATTTTTAGCAACTCTGAAAAGTGCTATCATATAAAGTCGTCCGATGTCCAACCCACCTGTGCTTTTCTCTTGTCTCCCTTCTCTATTCGCAGTAAAAGACCAACGGTGTGTCAGGACACCGTATGCGCACACACCAAGAGAACTCTAAACGCTCACACTACGCAAAAGGGTTCAAACTCCTGAGTGAATGTTGTAGGAGACAGAGAGGGCTCTGGCCGCTCCTCTCTGCACTCCCCAACTCCTCACTCACTCAGTGGTTGAGCAGAAAAATGGATCGATAAAGAGTTGAAGCTCTCCATGCCAAGTGACTCCTCGTAAATGGGTACTTAAGTTTTTTTTGCTATTCTGTGAGTTGGAGGAAGCCAAACGGACCAGGCGTTTTAAAGAGAAAATGAAAGCTGTGCTTCCTAATGTCCTGTCTAAGTGGATGTCTCTGTGTCTGATGAAGCGTGAAGTGCTCTGTAACCCTAACAAAATGACTATCGCTGTGTTCCAGTGGTTTTAAATGGCCCTCTCCTCTGTGCCACTATCTCGAGCTCCATCGTGTGCACTACCAAATGGGATGGATCCATAAATACAGCAATTACATAAAGGCCAGGTATTTATTGTAGCTCTAGGCCTTGATGTAATGAGCCGCAAGGTTATACTGTTAGAACTCCCATTATTTATACAATACCAGTGACCTGCTACTGCTAAATACGGAAATAGCTTTTGGCTGTTACAGTGACTCCTTGTCAGAGCCACACAAATATGACACAGCAAAACTGCCAAAGGCCTTAAGGTCTGATTTTATTTTTTTAACTCCATTTTGTAATGTTTTTATTGCAGATTTCCTTTTAAAAATAAGTAATTACATTTTTTAAAAGTTTTTATGAAGACACTGGTGTTTTTTGGCTTTCTAATGCAGATCTATTCCATAAGTGTATATTCACTGAATTTGCCACAATTACCCAGGTTTAATATTTCACATTCTCAGCTAATTCTGTAGAAAAAGTAGCTGTTTCCTGTGAAATGCATAAACTTAGACGTATAAGGACATCTTTAAAAGACTGTCTAGCATAAGAACATGCTGTACCTGATTGTAATGGTTACTATTTCACCTGGAAGGCTGAGGGGCAGATCTTTGTTGCAGCAGTCGACAGTCGCTGGTTCCTCTCGGAGCTCCTGAATATTGAGGAGGATCTCAGCCGAGCTTTGGCTCAGGACAGTATGTATCCTCTGATCTTTCTCGCTGTGCTGTTGCATGACCACCAAACCTGATACTGCGAGACTCCAGCAGCCCCCTGCCTTTGCCCAGTCTAACTAATCCCACATATAAGGACGCACTGCAGAGCCTAACTTTCCACCAGTGTCCGGCCCGTTGATAAGTCCATACTACTACTACATATGCGACAAACAGGGTGAACACCAAGTTTTCATGTGAGGAGCTTTAAAATCTGAAATTCTTTAAGTGTGAGGAGATTGCTTTTTGCTCCAAAATGTTCTGAAAGAGCCCAATGCTGCACCAGTTCAATTGAAACGTTTACTTCTCCCCTGCTGAATATTTGCGTTTATGCCTGGCCCTAATGCAAAATATGCAAAGTATTTTAGAAGTGACGTCATTGAGAAGAGTTCCTTTAAAAAAAAAAAAAAAACTCCCTGATGCTCTTAAGCTCTTTGTATTTCTGTACTGAATTACTGTGAGTGTTTTGACTTGCCCACATCTTTAGGTTTTTTTGGTGAGTCTAATGTTAGTTTTGTTTCTTGGCTCTTCCCTCCTTTGTCTCCTCCTCTCTCCCGCTCTTTGTTCTCTCTCCTGCCTCTCTCTTCCCTCCTGCCTGTCTTTTCTCAGACGTGCGACTGCGTGTGCGGGCCGAGTACCTGGAGCACGAGTCGGCTCTACGTAACGGCGTGGCCTCGGACAAGCGGCAGCCCCTGGAGCGTCAGTTTGAGCTGTTCAGTCAGGCCAGCTCGGTGCTGAGGTCCAGAAACCTGGGCTCCATCGTGTGCGACATCAAGTTCACGGAGCTGGACAACCTGCACGCGTTCTGGACGGACTACCTGAGCGGGGCTTTGCTGGAGGCGCTCAAGGGGGTCTTCATCACAGACTCGCTGAGGAGCGCGGCGGGGAGCGAGGGCGTGAGGCTGCTCATCAGCGTGGACCAGGACGACTACGAGGAGGGCTGTCGTGTGCTTAGGGCCGAGAAAGAGCCGCACGCAGAGCCGGAGCAGGGTCAGAAGTCACACACGCGCTGCACTGTGTAGAAACCAGACACACTAACAGGGAAGGAGGTCAAGAATAAATAATGCTGTGGACTTTTGTCAGGCCTGTTTAGACGCCATTGTTTCAGTCTGTTGAGTAACCACTAGATGGCAGCACTTACCATCTCATTTTGTTAAAGATGCCTTTCAGTGAGACAATTTCAGATGCTCTTTAATAGCCATAAATAATAATTTGCTAATAATTCAAATTGTCTAGATGATTAAATTATTTGCACCGGTGCTTTTTTTGTACAAAATCACTTTGAAGGGTCAATGTTTTATCATGACAAAATATATTATTAATATATTTTCAAGTTGTTAGTATTTGAATATCAAGACTATTAAAATACAAAAACTAGATAAAATACTAACACATATTTCTGTTTAATTTGTAATAAACAACATAACCTTATTATAAGTTAATGTAAAGTGCCAGTTTTAAATATGAACTGAAAAAAAAAAAATCTGCCAAAGAAAAGTTCAGATGTTCGAGAAATCTGATTTTGACCAGTACAAATGGGGTTTTCCAAGAGAAGATTCGTGTCCAACTTTAAAGTGTAACTCTGGATCACAAACATTAGGGGTCTGAGCTCTGTACCATGATAACCTGCCTTGTGATTGCGGTGGTCAGTGGATACAGCAGTGGCCGGCAGATGACAGGCGTGATTAGGGCCAGGCATCACTAGACCATGGAAGATTCATCATCACAGCCTTGTCAACAGCTCCGCGGATAACGCAACCACGGCTGTGTCCGGGCTCCCAGCTAGGCCTCTGCAAGTACTTCTCTCAGCGAGTAAAGCACAGGACGGCGCGGCGGTCAATAGAAGTGATGTTGGGGAGATCAAAATCAAAAGTGCACATCCCAGCTCCACTCAGCCCTGCCATGTAGCCCGGCAGAGTGGCTCACAGACAGCGGTCTACTCACCCTGCTGGAACTAATGCCTGGACTTCACTCATCGAGGAGGATCAATAAGGCCCAGTGTAAGTCCCCTCATACAGGCACGACTTAAGCAGCTCTGCCACTGTCTCAGAGCCGGCTGGACCCCACTACCCCAAATGGACTCCTTTATTTCATATGCTTTTGTATCTGTTAGTACTGTATATTTGTACCTTAACATTGAAGACTTCAGGGCGACGTTTTTGTTAAAGCAATTTGTATTTCTTTTGTGTAAATATTAAACATTGCTGTTGAAAAATCTGTGGTTGGTTTTGTTAACATTTATTGATTGCAGATATTTTGATTCTGCTGGTATAAACTGGGTCTCCATAGGTTGGGGATTGACGATGTGACTCATTATGGCTGAATTCACGTCAGAAATGGTCTGGTCCAGGTTTATTTCCAGGGTTGAGTACCAGTTTTGTTCCAAGACTAAACCAGGATTAGAATAGGACCAAACCGAGTCTAAATCAGAGCTCCACTTGGTTCGACTTGAATATGAAAACGACCTTGATGTGTATTTTAGACTTCGACGAACTTTATTGATCCAAAGGAGAAACTATTTGGACACAGTACCTCACACATAACAATATAATATAATAAAAAAGTCAAAATGGGGTGTTCAAAAATACTGAAATACCGATATACCGTATTGTTTAATGTGATGACACAGTATCGATATTGTGGGCTGCTGTATCGATATATCACCAAGAGTATTTTTTGGTCTATTTGACTAAATTATTTTGTTACAGCTACAGTTTTGTTGCTTGTTTAGAGGAAGGAAACTCGTTTATGCGACACATTCGACACATTTTCACAGTTTTGGTGATTAAAATGTTTGTGTTTCATATGAACTTTGCACAAAAAGTGGTTCAAGTTTAGTATCACAGCCATGATTTCGCCTTTATTTTTTATTGAACCATATCGAATCAAATTGAAATATATCGTAACCGAAAGTGCACTGTATCGAGATAACTATTGTATCGTGGCCTATGTATCAAGGTGTGCATCGTATCGGCGACTTCTTAATGATACCCAGCCCTAGTAATAAATTCTAAATAAATAAGTAGCAAAACATCAAGAGACAGACGCCAAATAAAGCATAACTATATAAACATATGTACAAGTAAAAATAAAAATATAAAGATTAAGTAAATAAAAAAAAATCTCAGCTATATACAAGAGATGATAAGGAAAACAGTACAAAGATGATTAGATGATTGACAGGACATAGGTTTGTCTGTTACATAAGGGTGAGTTGCTGTATAGCTGTAGGGAGTATTATCTGTCACATAAGAGTGAGTTGCTGTATAGTTGTATGGAGTATAGTGTAAATGTAGTCCTGTACCTCTCTACAATTTACCATTTTGTCAATATTTCATGTTACTGGACCAAGAATATACTTCTGAAATCATAGAGTGTGTATACATGCACATCAGTTTCCCGGTTATGATCGGGTTTTCTGAGTATCCCGGCTTCTTCACGGTGCATGTAAACGCAGTATCCCGGTTTCAGTATCCCGGTTATGGCAGCATCCCCGTTATTAGAAACCAGGTTACTGTAGCTGGTATATTCCAATAGTAACCGGGATACTACATTTGATCATGTATACAGTATACAGTGTCCTGGTTTCTCAGCGAGCATGTATACGCAGTAACCCGAGTAGTGACTAGGGGTGTGCAAAAATATCGGAATGTCAATATATCGTACAGTTTAATGTGATGATACAGTATCGATATCGTGGGCTGCTGGATCGATATATTACCAAGAGTAATTTTAGGTATATTTTACTTAAAGGTTGTATTAGAGGATTTTTGTGCAGGGACAGTCCTTGTGCATGTGTGACACCACCTTCCTTCTCCACAGCTCCTCCTCCCGCCTCTTTACTCATCATGTTTGTTTACATCCAGTGCATGTCTAAAAGTAATTTAGCGACCGACGCGTCAGTCTTTAGACCCTTCGCCTGCTTCAGTCGCGCCGTCGCTGGAAGAAATCTTCAAGAATCACCTCAGTTTGTCTTCGCTCCTTTTCTCCTTCTCTTCTTCTTTCAGCGACCTCAAAAACTGACTTTCTTTTGCGGCGAACTGGTCGTGGATTCTCGTCCGCCGTCGCGACAAACTTTGTGTGAATTGAGAGGAAGCGACAATTTGAAAAAGCCTCTAAGAACCGCCACATAAACCGCGTAATCTCCGAGCGCCGACGAGTCAGTTACACTAAAAACGTAGGGAGTTTGATTGACAACCTAACAGCCAATAGATAAAGAGGGAGCCTTGTTTTCTATTTGCTGATGTTTATCTGGCCTCAACACGTCCACAGTTGATAGATTTTCATTCTTTTTTTTTTTTCTCATCGTAATTACAAGGCTGCTGCGTCTCTGTAATGGTATTTTAACATTTAATTGACATTTTGAAACAAAACAAAAATCCTCCATACAACCTTTAATTATTTTGTTACTGTGCTACAGTTTTTTTGCTTGTTGTGTGAAAGGAAACTAATTTATGCAACACATTTGATATTTTGACACTGTTTTGATTATTAAAATGTTTCTTTTAGTATCACAGCCATGATTTAGCCTTTATTTTTTGCCGAACCATGTAAAATCGATTTGAAATATATTGTATCATACCGAAAGTGCACTGTATCGAGGTATGTATCGTATCGTGGCCTGTGTATTGAGATATGTATCCTATCTGCAACTTCTTAATGATACCCAGCCCTAGTAGTGACATAACTGGGATATGACTCATAACCGGGATACTGATGTGCCTGTGTACACACTCATAGTTATAACCCCAAAATGAGATCTGGAAAAGGAATAACACTAGAATGGACCCAATTACAAACCACAAAGTCTACATAGTCTTATAAGGATGTAACAATAATCGAAATATCGTGAAATCGTATCGTCAAAAGTCTCAATAATATCATGGGCTGTCACGGTATATTGAATCACAAGTTTTTTTTGCACAAATATATCGTTTTATAGTAACAACAGCTTATAAACATTGGGAACTACATATCCCATGATTCATTTCAGCGCAAAAACATAAAGTTATATGTTTTTTACTTGAATTCTTGGGATTATGACGGCAATAATTCGCACCAAAATCTTGTCAAGGCATTTTAAAAGCCAAAAAGAGTCATCTACATCTACAATTATATCAGCCTCTCCAAAATATCGCAATAAATATCGTACCGTGAGATGCATATCGTGATAATATCGTACAAAATTTGGATATCGTTACATCCCTACTGTCTTTTTTTGTAAAATTGTAGTTGAAATGTGTGTTTAGGTGTAGTTTGTGATGTCATATTTTAGTCTTTTCGTCAATTCATTTGGATGTGTTTAAAATATGAACCTCAGAATTCAGAAAAATCCCAATTTAATATTTTCCTCGAAGCGTTTAGCCCTCACATAAAGCATTCGCTGGACAAATACGCCCTCCAGACTTGATCGAACGAGCGCGCCATATGTTATAACGTGTATAAAACTCGCTTTCTCCCCTCCAGAGGCTGACGTACGGGGCGAGCGAGCGGCCCCTCTGCTCCTAAACGGTCTGAAGAGATCCATTGAATGCAGGTCACTGTGGAGCGCCTCCCTAATCGTTTCTCTTGGCGCTGTAAGATGGCGGCGTGATCAAACCAAAGAATCATTTATCCTCGGCCTTTTCCCCCCCACAAACCCCACAGCCCGTAATGACCAGGGCTTTCATACGCAGATTCCCCCTCTCTCCGCATCTCGACTATTTAGCTTTTTAAGATGAATCGCCGGACCTTGTTTAATTATGCACAAGTGTTGATGCTCTGATCTTTAACGGGGCCTCTCCGGACATTATGAAGCCTTCTGATGTAGATGATCGCACCATCCTTAAGCGCATAAATAAATAATGACAGGGTACTTTGAAGAGTCACCTCATTGGACCTCCAGGTTTAAAAGTCAATGATGCAAACTCGCTTTAAAATGCATAAGTGTGTTTGTTGTTATGACCAGGAGTTTCAGAGTGATGAACAAATTAAGACTATGGCATTTACTCAACCTTTGATGCTGATTACAACGCCAAAATGAAAATAAAAATGCTCCTTTTTTAGTAACAAATTGTAATTTTCATATACAGAATAATAGTACTTTTGTTATTTTTGCATAAGATCTTATATTTGTTTAAAAATGTTCAGGAAACCTCAAATTTTGTGCTGTCAGTGCAATTTTTTTGCAGCAGGGATACGCCAAGAATATTTAATGGCATTTTTTACTAAATTATTTTGTTACAGAGCTACAGTTTTGTTGATTTTATGCGACATATTTGACATTTTTTCACTGTTTTGAGGATTTAAATGTTTGTGTTTCATATGAACTTTGCACCAAAAGTGGTTTAACAAAGACTTTAGTATCACAGCCATGATTCAGCCTTTATTTTTTATTGAATCATAGTGAATCGATTAGAAATCAACCTCAACCTTCAATGCTGATTACGACACCATAATGAAAATAAAAATGCTCCTTTTTTGGTAACAAATTGTAATTTTCAGATACAGACTAATAATACTTTTGTTCTTTTAGCATTAGGTCTTACATTTGTTAAAAAAATTTTCAGGAAACCTCAAATTTTGTGCTGTCAATGTGATTTTTTGCAGCATAGATACTCTATCCATCGCCAAGAGTATTTTTTGATATATTTTACTAAGTAATTTTCTTCCAGTTCTACAGTTTTGTTGCTTGTTTAAAGGAAGGAAACTGGTTTATGCGACACTTTTGACATATTCACTGTTTTGAGGATTTAAATGTTTGTGTTTCATATGAACTTTGCACCAAAAGTGGTTTAACAAAGACTTTAGTATCACAGCCATGATTTAGACTTTATTTTTTATTGAATCATATTGAATCGATTTGAAATCAACCTCAACTTTTGAAGCTGATTGTGATGCCACACTGAAAAAAAAATGCTTCTTTTTAGTCACAGATTGTAATTTTCATATACAGAATAATAATACTTTCGTTATTTTAGCATGAAGTCTTATATTTGTTAAAAAACAGTTCAGGAAAGCGCAAATTTTGTCCTATGAATGTGATTTTTTTGCAGAATGGATAGTCTAAAATGAATATCTAGTTGTTGTTTTTTTGTTTGTTTTTTTGAGTATTGATTAGAATCTGATTTTCTTTACTTTTTTTTTACAACCCTATGACTATCTAAAACAAAATATTATATCTTTCAAGAAGTGCAAAGTCCTCAAAATGTCGCCCATAACTGAAAAGAACTGCCT